CCAGAAGGAAACGTCGAAGACGCTTTAAAATATATACATAATTGATCAGCATGATGAGCTGAGTTGATTTAGCCATGTCCGTCTGTCTGTATATATACAAACTACTCTCTCAGTAGTATTATAGCTTTGGTGCAACCGAAGTCAACTTTTTTTCTTGTTTTAGTTTGATTGTATGAATCGCCTCTTGACTCTATACGATATGTTATATGTGTAATGTTCGATCCGTGGAAATATGGTCAATGTAAATTTCGATGCTACTAATTTTTTTTATTTTCATTTGAATAATTGTTTTCAGAGTATATTAGGAGATGAACAATACTCAGTATATAATTTCATTTAAAAAAACATTCGCACGGTAATTGAATTACTGGACTATTAGCCGCGCCTATTACATAGAATCTTTTTAGAGTTTCAGATGGTAAGCGGCACTCATATAAGTGCTTACTTTACAACTACCATACATTCACATATGTATATATGTATGTACATATGTACATATATACGTAATACATACATATGTATGTGAGTACAAATATGTACTAATGTGCAACATAACGAGGGCTAAAAAAATAAGATCATTAAAAATCCACAGCATCTGTGAAGTTGTTATACAAACATACATACATACATATAAGTTTGTAGCAGGAAGTGAACGACCGACTTAAACTTATGCTCCCAATCCGTGGAGAATAGAGTGTACTAAATAATCAAGCCATAAATGAGTGTCTATGTTATATGTACGCATTTGTATGAATGCACTAGCGTTATGCATAAAAATACATATAAACATATACAGAGGTACATACATATGTATTACATTGCAGTGTTCCGATGTTAGCATCTTAGGTGAAATCGACAGCATATACGAGTACCAAAAGGCAATCAATTTAATATTTGAAAATCATGTCATTGAGTATTTATGCACCGATTTAATTACAACCATGTATAGTAGATATGTTTATTGTTGTGATTCCATTTATGTTATAGACAATTATAATGATAGTATTGTTGTTAGTGATTGTTGTAGTTATACGTCATTACGGTAAATTGTCGTAACTGCGTACAATGAATAAGCGTTAAGCGTATAATTTGACAATATTTTTCGCGGACAAATGTTGCCTCTGTAGTGACTGTATGAACAAATCATGACAAATTCAATAAAATAGTAAGTCGACGCATTGAAATTGACTTGCATTACTTTGCCAATATTTATACAATTACATGATTTAATATTACATACAGGCGTACATATATATATACTACGGTGTCTGTTATTTCACAACTTGATTTCTGTTTTGCAAATGCCCTCCGAAGTTTAAGCTTTTTCTTAAAAACAGGATCCATCGTAAACAAGCTCTTTATTTTCAATTTAAACCGTGCCTAAATCAATTTACTTTTGCCATATGTATATTAAACATAGGATTTTTTGATCTTTTGCAATAAATTGTTTATCTCCAAAGAAAATAAACCTTCAACTTTGAAAAACATATATTCTAATACAAAATTTTCCGCTCTACAAAATTATTCTTTTAATAAAAATATTTCTTTAAAAGTTATACGCATTTAAAATTGTGTATCAAATGTACTGAACATTGTAATTGTATTAGAATATCAGGTTAATTCTTGCTTAATGCAAAATACATAACAAACAAGTAAGGAAGGGCTAAATTCGGGTGTACATTTATTGCCTTGCAACTTGCAAGGATCAAGGCCGGCTAAATACCTTCAGGTGTTGGCAAAAAAATAAATCACAAAAAATATTGTGAAAAAATTTAACACTCATTCTTAGACGAAATCCTGAATGGATTACAATAAAATTTTCTATTTTATTAAGTTATATTATACGTATAGACTCACTTAGTTTTATTGTTATATTTTAATTCGCGGCAGTTAAAATTATATTAAAAACAGCTTCATAGGTGATATAAACTCAACCGAAGAGGTTAATATTGAGACGATGTGGAAAACGTCAACCAGAGGAATAGAATTCATTATATTAGGGATATGAGGTTTATACCAAGTTTTACACCAAATCCTTACATCTAAATCATTAATATAATTTAATAATTTCTAAGAAAACTTGTTCACCTAATTTCATTAAAATATCACACATTTTGGTCAACCTAAACGGATTAAAGTCAGCTGGAAAGGTAGAAATCACTATGCAACGTATATTGGGGACAGAGAGAGAGGTCTGAGCTTTTTGTGTTAACTTTTGACATTGTTAAGGTATGCTCGAGAACATATTTTCAAACAATTTTATAAATAAATAACACGCACACATACCGACATATTCGGTATGAGGTTTGTAAAAATGACAACAATCATTTGATGTACATATGGAGATAGGGGTAGTATTGATCCGATTTGATCTATTTTTGGCATTACTACATACTGCTAACAGAAAAAAGGCTCTCTGAGTTTCATTCAGATACTACACATATCAACACCAATATAGTATAAGGGGTAAAGCCAACAGGATATTTCAGAATCCCGATATAAGTTATATGGAAGCTAAGGCAAGTTTTCACTCGATTTTATCCATTTTGGGCACACAGATGCACCTTTATTAGAAAAACCACAATTTTATTAATATAACTCACATATTGGGCGATTTATGCGGTATCAGGTCAGCCTGAAGTTCGAAAATATTTATATTAGGTTTATGGGGGCTAAGAGAAGGATTGTCCCGATTAAATCCATTTTTGAGATACAGATACAATATTATTAGGAAAGGATTCTCTGCGGATTCCAATCATATATCTCATATATTGAACTATAATTTCGAGAAAAGTCTATCATGGACACTGACTATTAATACTTTTGACAATTTTTAGAATTGAGATGGCATATCTTGAAGGCACTCGTTTTGCAAAGTTTAGTTTTCTAATTGTATACTGGAAGGTAAAAAAATTAGGTGAAATTCAAATTTGTGTAATATAACAAGGAGGCGTAGTTTTAATTCAATTTCGCCCATTGTTGACCATTTTTTCACTGTAACATAGGCATGTCAGGATGAAAAATGGTGAACGGTGGCACGCCCATTGTCCAATTTTGACACTGGCTCCTATAAAGCTCTCCTGTATTATCCTGGGTGTAAAATTTAATGTCTCTGACGCATTTAGTTATTGATTTCTAACAAACCGTTATATGGGGAGAGAGCGAGGTATGATCTGATTTCATCCATTTGAATACTGTCGGTAGTATATCTTAAGGGATTTGTCCTGTCCTTTTCAAAATTTTTAGCCAATAGGTGCCCCATGCTACTGCAATCCCTTGTACCAAATTACAGTTTTATATCTTAATTATGTGCTTAGTGATGACATTTTATAGGTTTTCAATTAACGGCGTTTTGTGGACGTGGAAGGCGTCGAATTACGTCCATCTACAAACTCGTACTCACTTTTGTGCCAGGGAACGCGTGTACCAAGTTTCATAAAGATATCTCAATTTTTACTCAAGTTGCAACTTGCACAGACATCGTCATCCAGATCATTTATATATATACATAACACTATATCTAAAAGTTAGGTGAACAAAACTATTATACTTTGTAGCAACATGTTGCTAGAGTATAAAAATTCCATGTTATATACATGGGAAAAGAAATATAATTTAGGCACGGTTTAAATAAGAAATAAAGAGCTTGACCCTTGTTTTATTGGGCAAAAATTTAAACTTCAGGAAGCGTTAAAAAAATCAACTTGGAAAATAACGGACATCCTAATATATATATGCAAACACTATGTACATTCACAAAGGTCAGTATTGGGAAATTTGAGATCAACTAAAGCTACTTACTTTCTATTTAAATATGTTATACTCTGACTGCAAAGTATTTGTCTTGACTGAGAGATTTTAGATCTAAACTTAATGCTACTTCCTCTAATTTTGTATACTCAAAAAAAATTTAAATCTTGTTTGAAAAAAGATTTTACTCAAATGAGGAGTCAACAATGGAAACAAACGCCTTCAAAATGAAGGCTTCCAAGCTTTACTCATTCGAACTGGTATCGACATGTTGGATGACTGTTACAACAAATGCATTCTACAACTGTGTCCCAAAAATAACCGAACTTTATATTTAATTCATACAACTTGCAGCGTTGCCTATTGAAAACTTGTTGCATTAAAATATACATTTGCTGAGACATACGAATTTATGTTTTAGTACGTGGTTTACACGATTTAAAAATGTTCGTGATGATTTAAATAACGACCAACGGCCAGGTCGTTCAGAAGCCGGTAAATATGCTGAATTGGTGTTAAATGTCCGATGCAAATTAAATTAGGACGATAATGTTGGCTTAGGAATTAAATACGATAAAACACAATTTGGAGAACTTAACTGAAGATTTGGGTAAAAGAAAGGTCTGCGCACGTTTTGTGCCACATGAATTAAATTTATGTAGATGAAAAAGGGATTGAGTTTTTAATAATCCGTATTCATCTGATCTACCACCATGTGACTATTTTGTATTTCTAAAACTGAAAACTAACATGAACTTCTATGGTTTCTAAGATTAAAGCCATAATTTCATTGAAATAAAATTACGATCCTTCATTGGATAGTATGTACATACAAGTATATGTTTTTATAATTTGTTGGTTTAAGTCCATTTGGATGGTTTAAGTACTATTTATCGGATATGCAAATGTTATGCTTGAATATACAAAGTCCCAAATCCCTTAAGAACTTAAACTTACTCAAAAGGCCGTTATCTTTACACAGAAATATACTCAGAAGGCTGACTGACTTGATTGCCCAACATATCTTTCATTTGGGTGTTTACTAATTATTAACAATATTGAGGAACTCTTAAGGGTAGTGGTTCTCATACATAAATATAATGACGTAATATCTTGACACTGTAGTAATCTATATTTTTCTTCTATCTTGCTATTAATCTAACAGATAATACTATTTTGATATAAATGCAAACAAAAGTCTAATATACTATATTTATTCTAATTGTTATATTTTTTACATTACATTTCAGATAAAATGCATCAATAATTGTAGAGCTTTACTTAAGTGCAACACTCACTAGCCATAACAGGAGGAACATGTCCGCCATATTATTTTCTCAGGATTGTGAACAGCAAAATCAACAAGCAGATGAACTGCAATCGGATAAGTTTGCATTTAAAGAAGATTCGTGTAACGGTTTTAGTGAGGAAATAAACAATGAATCAGAAATACAATTACCGCCAAGCATAACAAGTATTCCTAGTACTGATAAAACAGCCAATGATTCCTTTAATATTAAGGCCGCCGAGCCACAATTCGAGAGCGATTGCAATGGCCTCTTGAATAGTAAAATGGCAGCTCTAGCGTTGAATGAGGGCGACTGTAGTCAATGCGATGGTGGTAGTGATAGTGGCCTTGATACAGCGACCACGAAGCTTGCTAATGGAGAAATTGCTAGCAATAACGATAATATTGACAGCAATTGCAATGAAAAAGGTAGTGTCGCCACAAAAAACTGTACATTACAACGTGCGTTGAGCAGTACTAGTGGGGGCTACGCCAGCAGCACCGGCGGTATAGAGGATGTCAATAATCAGACGACAATGCCTGTAGCGCTGCCGCTGGCTAATGTGAGCAACGCAAGTATGCAAGGTCTAAATACATCGGGCAACTCTAGTTTGCTTAGTTGTGGCTCAGAGCTGGCGATCAGCACAACCAACGGTGCAGTGTCCTCAGCAACGCAAAGCTTTGAGTGTTACAGCGAGAACGGCAGCGAAAGTTCTTCAATGCTGGGTGGTGGCACTGTGTCAACAACACCAGTACGACGCTCAAGCAGTACTAAAACTAAAATGAGGGTTTATGAGGCTGGTCGTGGCGCTTTTGCCACTCCAATGTCCCGCAGTATGCGAGAACGTGGTAAGTCTGTTCTAGGTTTTTTATAAATACAGTCAAAAGTAACAATCGTTTTTATTTGTGTAGATTGCAGCACTACACCAATTTCTGGAAACTCAACTTCCATTAGTGGCAACCAAGTTAGTAGCGCAACAACACCACGTACGCGTCCTGTTGGTGTAAAGCGTACTTCATCTTTGTCGCGTCATGTACCTGCAGTAGCGTCGACAGTAGCGCAACGTCATGCTGAAAAGCCCCAGTCGACTAATGCCACTAATAAAACTTTAATGGCTGCACCAACTTCATCCTTTCGTTCCACTACGACGACACGTGCCACAAAACCACAAAAGCCGGATTCCTTGCCGAACACACTGAGCCGCACGCAGTCTATGAGCATGCAGCGCCTAGTACAACGTACACCCTCATTAAGTCGAGCGCGTACGCCATGTACCCCTCAAGAGGATGGCCGTTGGCCTGGCAATTCCCGGGCTAGCACAGCTAGCGGGGCTGCGAAGCGCGGTGTGTCTGCAACTCCAGATTTGATGTCACTGAAAATGCGCTCCTCAAACATGATGGCATCGATGGAGCTGAAGTCCACTAGCAACAATACCAGTTCAAATCCATACAGCACGTTGCCGCGCCGGCGTAAACAAAAGTCCGTCGAAGACTTGACGGCAACACCTGACTCGCGCAGCAGCTCAATAACACGTGATACACGTATGACCACGTCCGTAATGGTAAGCACACGCAGAAGCCTCGTAAGCGCATTTGGTGCATCAACGCCACAAAGTAACCAACCGCGTTCATTGATACATACGCGAAAAACACCAGCGCAGCCGCCTAAAACGCGCATATACCATGAGACTAGCGTTCAGACGGCGCTCACTGGAGAAGATCTGGAGAATGTGTTTGCTGGTCGGACACCGGCAACGCGTGCTGTAGATGCAGTTGAACAAAATGAACAGACCACACAGACTGATATACGTGACGCTGAATTAGAGCGATTACGGGATGAAGTGCGTCAATTAGCGCAGCGTGAACATGAATTAAGTACTAAACTTCAACGCGAACGTGAAGAGAAGTTGGCTACACAGCGTGAATTAAATTTGAATACAGAACGGGTGATGAGTATGTTAGAAAAGGCTCGCTTAGCAGGAGGAAAATACGGCCTTACAGGCGGCAGCGTGAGTGGCATTAGTATGGACGGCGACGCTACCACACCAACCTCGGACGAAGGTAGTGGAAGTGGCCACGATAGTTTACTTATGTTGGAATCGCAAATACAAATGAGTGGCCATGAGTTAATCGAGCGTCAGCATGAGATTGGACAGCTGCGTCAGTTGTGCCGATCCTTGCAGCACGAAATGAATCGTTCACTGGCCGCGCAGGAATGCTTATTGCAAGAAAAAGCCGCCATAGAGCAGGAGTCGAATGAGCTACAGGACTTTTTGCAACATGAAAAATCAGCATTATGTGATGCATTAAAAGAATTGGAGAATGAGCATCAAGCTTGCAAACAAAAATTGTCGGGACGTGAAGAAGAAGTGAAGGTTTTGCGCGATGAATGTCGTCACTTAGTGCGGCTCAATGAGCAGCGAAGGTGAGTTCAGTGCAAAACATGCTAAAATGGATTAATTCAAATTAATATTGGCTTATTTTAGGCAGGAGAATCGTATGCTACAGTCCAAATATGCAGCGCTGGAAAGTAAATCAAAAGAAATTATGATGCAACAAAACTATTCGGTCTCAGGGGCATCTGCCGCATTGTCGGGCCTGCATTCTCGTTTGGATAGCTTAGTTGAACAATTGGTGTCCACTTACAATATAACTGAACACGATTTGGAGGTATGACGACAAATATTTTCAATCAGGATATATTAAGTTTGCCACGAAGTATGTAACAACCAAAAAAAACGTCGGACACTATAAAATATGTATGTAAATGATCATGTCCGTCTGTTGGTTCGTCTCTCTGTATACGCCAACTAGTCCCTTAGTTTTATTTAAATTTTTTATTTTTAGAGACATGTTTCTGAAATTATGCACACGAACTTTTTTCTCCAAAAAGCTACTCATTTGTCGAAACTACCGATATCAGATCCCTATAGCATATAGCTGCCATACAGACTGACCGATAAAAATCAAGTTTTTGTATGCATACCTTTTTTATTTGACAAGATAGCTTCACGAAATTTGGCATGAATTATTGGCTGATCAAAACCAAGTTCTAATATGGATTTTAAATTTACGGGTTCGGCCTCTTTGTGTTTGCAAAGTTAGGAAAAGGATCCATGAAATCAAGGAAACAAAGATAGTAGAATTCAAGTTATAAAACCTACGTGTATGTGGATTGATTTTTTATTAAATTTCTCATATTGAAAATTACAATTGAGACTTACATAGGTGAAATATTTCTACCTTTTTTGAACGCTCACTTTCTATTCATGAGAAGATGGCCTGCGATGCTCCTCAAGATGGCCAATGACAATTAATGGTTAGGGTGGGTTTTTCTTTCTGTAATAATGTTTTAGCTTTAGATTGTTTGATTTTTTTAACATAGTTATAGATCGCAGTTAATGCAGCGCATACATTCATTTTCTGCATGTAATTAATATCTGGCGCGCATCATTCAACGCATTTCTACTACTGGGGCATATTCATTGGGCCGGGGGAAATTATTTAGCTTATATACATATCTATTTATTTTAAACTGCTAAATGTTGCTGTTGTTGTAAAGTAATAAAACATCACACAAATACTTTGTGAAATGCTGATCATTTGACAGTCATTATCGGGTTATAAATCCGCATCCGATTCGCTTACATGTATAGTCAAGACGATTTTTGGGTACTGTTACGGGTATATTGTATTATTAATAACCTTTTCGTAGCATTAAGCTAAAATTCGATCAACAATTTTTATATATTTGGTCCATATATAATATAACATTGAGAGTTATCGATCGAGGCAATCAAATTGATTTCAAAAGTACTAGGTTTTGATTGTTCTTGTCATACCTGCTATCTTAACCCTGTTTAGAGGTGACTTAACTATTTATTGACGTCAAACTCATCTAACGGGAGGACAAAGAACGAGCTTTTACAATGGAGGCAGCATATTATTTATTCGTTGGTATGGGTAGGCATCCGAAAAGGTGATATGACACCATGCTGAGACTAATTGTATTCATGAGATATGATTGGTATTAAGTCTGGATATGTAACAGTTTAACCTGCAACAGTCTTTAGAACATAAATAAGTCTCGGTCAGATGCTGGTCGTTCTCTTCCTTTTCCTTCTCTATCCTTTTGTCAAAGCTATAAGAAATACTTGCTTCTAAATGGAAATCACTAAAATATATTACTTGGTATCTATATTTCAACCCACTGTAAAAAATTGTTTCGCCATACGGAAATTTACGTTTTTTACATATAATAGTTTTTTCATACAGGTTTGCTGATAATATACTATACATACAAGTATTTAGGTATTATGAAAATTCAATATACTTTGTGTTAGAGTAGAGCTGAGTTAGTTTCGATAAAATAACAGCGTATCCAATTCGCTTGCTTGCTTGCTACGCATTATATGAATATTTAGAATGATGTATGATAATTAATTATTTGGACATCATCGATAGGATATCGGTTTCCAGCCAGAAGTACAACAACAAAATCACAGTAACACATTGGAGACGCGATCAACACAAAATGTAGAAGATTATCTGGGTCGATTGCCATCGAACATTAATGTAAACGGACTGGACTGTTGCACACAATCCAAACAGTTCTTACCACAACCTAGTGATGGATCTTTGTCGCCACAAAGAAATCAATCATTCATCGCGGCCGTAATAAGTGCCATACGCAATGCAACTACTCCGTCTAGTAAAAAACTATTGGCGCGAAATGGAAAACGCATTAGTCTTGAAAATGCTGGTTTGAGTGATTCAAACGGTCAAGCTACGTCAAAAAATAATAACAACTATAATGGAGATATAAAGAATAGAGATGGTGGTGAGCCAGGTCTTATTTCCATAACTGTCAATATAAAACTTGATTTTTTTCCTGTTCTTTTTCCAGATGACTCCGATTCCACTGAAATGCTCGATTCGGAAACAGAACCCTGTCTAATGATGGACAACGTGTTGGAAGATGTCACAATGCCCGATTCTCATTCACACAATATGGTCTCATCATGCACGGGTGTTATTTCTCAATTGGAAGTACCGTCGGAACTGATTAATCCTCCGTCTGGCGATGAATCATTGCATAACTTGTCACAAGCTATTGTGAATCGTCAACAGATGGAATTGCAGATCAGCAACATGCAAAGTGTACAAAAGGCATCATTACAATTGAAGTGTGTATTATATAATTTTAATCGTATTAAATTAGTTGCATTCATTAACGGTATATTTATAACCTGTCAATACGTACAGTCAATGCGAGCATGATAACTCAGATGATGCTAGTTGCCATGATTCGGTGGCTGAAATGCCTTCCCTAATGGAGTATTGCACAGCCCAAGCAGTGGTGGACCAGGTGATCGAAGTAGACAGCTTGGTAACCAAATTGCTCAAGGTCCTGCGTCTCATACAAATGGACAACGATAATTGCATACAGCAACTGATTGTCGATAAGTGAGTCAAATGCAGGAAAAAACTATAAAAAATATATATTGTATAATAATTTTCTTTTTTGTTAACAGGAATAAGCTACAAGAAAATAAAGAGGATATGTTAGAGAAAATAAAAGATTTGCAGGATGTGAACATAAAGTTGCAAGATGAGCTTATGGATGCTACACAAGAGCTAATGTTAAAGAACAACGATTTGTCGAACACGAAAGCTGAAATGCAACGACACCGTAATGAGATCGATGTAAGATTTTAAAGAAACGTTAAAATACTATCATCGATTGATTAATAATTTTTTTGCATTAGAATTGAGTTGCTTTTGCACAAGCATTTATTTTGGTTGTAGAACTCACAGATACATGGATACTTCTACACATATACTTAAACACATACCGAACTTAGTCGCATGAATGCAACTAATTAACACACGATTATTATTATAATTTTATTATTATTTTTAGTTTTGTTAAACACACTTTGGTCTCAATATGAATTATATGATTCGAGTATTAGTTTTCCTAAACGATAGCCGAAAATGGAACGAAAAAGAAACGATAGAAATTGCGACATAATTAAGTTAAAAAACGTCACTCCATCTGGTATCGCTAAGGATCAAAACTGGTCTATGCGTGCCTCATTAGCCTATCAGCCAAACCTAACCTTAAAACAGCAGCGACACAAACATTTTTACAAATGAAATGTATTTCCGTGGTCGAAAGTATTAAACGTTATTTATATTTGTTTAATGAAATTTTAGTAGTCAGTGAACACTTTCGAAAGCTCAACATTTATTTTAATTTCAATGGCTTACTATAAGGAAACAATACAATATAATTAAGAAAAGGCTATCTCGATACTTGTATACTTTAACGTTTACTATCTTCGGCCACAAGTTTAGATATATGTACATAGATATATTTTTTATATTTATTTTTGAAAGTAATGAAAACAGAAACACAATTTGGTTGCATTTAAATGCGCAGACAGTCTTATGGTTGTATGAACATTTACCAAATAATGATTTATGTAGACGTATGTATATTTAATTATTATTTGCACTTTATATCTAAAGTTATTCTTTTATATTCTGGACGATTAATCGTATGGTTATTATTTTGTCGCAAATTTGTTTCCTATTTACATAATAAAAATTTCTACATTGATGTATGTATGTTTACTTTATTGAAAAACAATTTTTTATTTATTATACATTATACAAACACATGTATATGTATATATATATATACATATATGTATATGGTACGTACATATATGTGTGTGCATGTTAGTTTTATTTATTTGTAACAAAATGGTTTTTACTACTTGTGGATCTCTTGATTAGTACCTTTACGAGTATATGATACTCAAATTTGGGCGTAAACAAAATTCCGGCAGTTGCCTCCTGAATTTGATTTCATAGTAATAAGTGTTTCAAGCTGCAATGATGTAAATGTTGCACAACAATGAAATAACGTCACTTTTATTTACTGACGAAGTATTAGTCCTTGGCTGAATAGATAGACAAATCTATTTTAGAGCAACTTGATCAGTTAAAAATTGAAGTTGAGCCCAGAGTTCTCCAACCACTACAATTGCAATTATGTATGTATTATGTCGGTCTTTAACAACTCTTTAACGAACGCCTCTAAAAAAGATATCTCTGAAACGATGTTTTTAAAATTATTCAGATACCATTTTTTCTCAAAATGTTTTCAAATTTTGGAGCTTACATTTTAATTCTCAACACAATTAATCAGAACCCTACTAATTATCCATTTATACAACATGACTGATTCCAACATTAAGAATAAAACAAAAAAAAAAAAAATAAATAATTAATTCCGTCGCTCTAAATATATTAAATTATTTTATTTTTCACATCAAATCCAATTTTACTATTTATAAATAGTATTATTTATTCACACGAGCTTCTAATATACAGTTCTAACCGTTTAGCTTAGTGAAATCGTTTTTGTGTTGTTCTCCTGGTTTGTATTTTTGTTCCTTTTAATTTAAATTTAAGCTTTCTTGATATCGCTCAAACATCAAAATCTCGATTCATTTCATGAAATTCATTAATGTGATTTTATTTTTTCACTTATTCCGAACATGATATTTCAACACACTCCCCATCATCAATCGCCATCATCAATGTTTATTATTTTTCTTCAAAAATAATTAAATAATAATAAATAAAAACTCGAAACATATTCCAATTTGCAACAAAAACAACATAACGTTAAAAGCGAAAAATGTCGAAATTTTTTTAACATTATAACTGCATACGTACCCACACACATATCATAATATGTACATAATTTATGTATTAATTTTCATCAAGCAAACATATATACATACATACAACTTTCATGTAATATATAAAACAAATGCACTCACGAATTGGCTAATTGAAAATTGAAAAAAAAAATATATAAAATGCCAACCAACAGCGTCTAACGCAGGACATTTGCAATTTGAGTACGCTCTGCAGCAATTACAAAAAACTCTCACCGACAGTTGAGTTTTCGCCCCTGCAACAGCAATTACTCTGCCCCAACCAAACAGCGTTGCACAACATAACACCCGCCGAAGGTGAAATCATTGACAATGGGGCAGAAAACGATGCGGAGAGCATTTTGAATTTGCTCAAAATGTGGCAGACAGAAGGTCAATTCAATAAACTCAAGATTCGAGACTTCCTCAGCACGTTTGTTCAGTGCCAGCGGGTATTTATTGCAATATAATATCTTGATTAATTACTTATTATTGACTATATTAATATTCTAATTATTTTATGTGAAATGCAGTGTCTACCCGAGCAAACGCAGGAGAACAGCAACAATGAGCGCTTGCGTGTGTACGCCAACCAATTGGAAAATGTATTGTTAGTGTTGCAAGCATGCGAACAATCAACGCTAAATTATGCGGATTTGCAGAAGCTGCGCTGTGACATTGAGATCGTTAAGGCGAACGCAAATTGGTCAAGTATAATTGCTGATCGAGCGGCGGAAGTGAACTGTAACAATGCCAAGCTGTTAAAAGCTAACAGTAATAATAGTAATGAGGATGTCAATGCGAATGCGGCATTTGAGAAGAAGGAAGTCAATTGATAAGTTAAATATTAAAATGGTGGGTTTCCTATAAATATGTAGCATATGACACAAGGTTAGTCAGGATATTTAGATGAGGAATCAGAATAATTCGCTCCACACGCCATCCAAAAATGTCCATTTATGTATATTTATTAACAAATTAGCGTTATTTATTGCATAATAGCACTTACGTTTAAGGCCCTAAAATGCCACAAAAATGAGTAGTTTTGTAAAGCATGCTTAGCATTTGCCGCCAATCATTCTTTGCTTGGCTTTGTTGGGCAAAATTTTGATGGAAAAAGAGACTAGCTTATTGCGTTAAGGAGAGACTTAAACATCGTTATTAAAATGTGAGAAAGCTTTTCTTATTAAAAATTATTTATTCGAGTAAATGGGAATGACATCCGAATTCGTAATAATAATAATATGAATACACTACTCAACAAATTTGAAGGAAATAATTGCGACTGATGCCTTAAGAGGTCTGTGCGGGTATTTGAATTGTGCTGATTACGAATTTGAGTTCAAAAATTTTCCATCACGTACAGCTAGTTTTGTCATTTTAGCAAAGGGTGGTGGTTTGACCCCTAAACCCTTTGACCACAATTAAAAAAATTCTACGCATTAGGAAATTTTTACTATCATTTTCGGTTATAGCAACCCAAAATTAGCAAGAAACAGCCAATAAGATCAATCTTTTTGGCATCCCTCCCCACTCTCTGAAAATGGGTGATTTCTGATTATAACCTCGCCCACTCTCTCTATAACGGTTGTATGGTATAGTGGTCCGATATCGGTTATTTTATTTTTTAAAAAGAGCAGTTTCTTCGAAACAAAAGGACATGTGCAAAATTTCAAATCGATATCTCAAAAACTAACTACGTATGCATATATATTTTGAGGGTCTCCAAAGCTTCCATCTGGGTGTTACAAACTTGTAGTGAAATTTTTCTGGTATTTTTCTACACCACTTATCTACCCTCTGTTAACGATATTTTAGAACTTATATACATACATATATGTCTACAACTCTGCGCACATATGTAGTTCGAGTGCAACACATATCGAATTTTTATACTCTCGCAACCTGTTGCTACAGAGTATAATAGTTTTGTTCACCTAACGGTTGTTTGTATCACCTAAAACTAATCGAGTTAGATATAGGGTTATATATATATAAATGATCAGGATGAAGAGACGAGTTGAAATCCGGGTGACTGTCTGTCCGTCCGTCCGTCCGTCCGTGCAAGCTCTAACTTGAGTAAAAATTGAGATATCTTTATGAAACTTGGTAGACATGTTTCTTGGTACCGTGAGACGGTTGGTATTGCAGATGGGCGTAATCGGACCACTGCCACGCCCACAAAACGCCATTAATCAAAAACAAATAACTTGCCATAACTAAGCTCCGCAATAAGATAAAAGACTGTTATTTGGTACACAGGATCACATTAGGGAGGGGCATCTGCAGTTAGATGTTTTTTTTAAAAAGTGGGCGTGTTCCCGCCTTTAATAGGTTTAATGTGCATATCTCCTAAACCGCTAATGCTATAATAACAAAATTCACTAGAAGCAAATGTTTTTAGCACTTCTATTGACGGTGTGAAAATAGTTGAAATCGGGTGGCAACTCCGCCCACTCCCCATATAACGGTACTGTTAAAAACTACTAAAAGCGCGATAAATCAAGCACTAAACACGCCAGAGACATTAAATTTTATCTCTGAGATGGTATAAGATGACTTTATAGGAACCGCGTTCAAAATTAGACAGTGGGCGTGGCACAGCCCACTTTTAGGTGAAAACCCATATCTTGAGATCTGCTTAACCGATTTCAACCAAATTCGGTGCATAACGTTCTTTTCATGTTTCTATGTCATAGTGCGAAAATGGGCGAAATCGGACTACAACCACGCCTACTTCCCATATAACACCATTTTCAATTCCACCTGATTCTTTCACTTTCCACTATGCAAATCAGGTAACAATGATTATATCGGGGTAAAACTTTGCGTGAATAATGCAATTAAAGTATGCCACCTTGCGGCCAAAAATTGTCTAAATCGAACCGAAACTGTTCAAACCCCTAAGTACTAAATATGTGGACCCCAGTGCCTATAGTTGACCTTCTACCGAAAATATCAGTCAATCCACAAAGAAATCTCAAACGAGTATACCATTTGACTTTGCGAGAGTATAAAATGTTCGGTTACATCCGAACTTAGCCCTTCCTTACTTGTTTAATCTTAATACAGTAGAAATCATAACGATTGCGCAGAAAATATATTGTATCTTAAGGTGATAACTTACTATAAATCGCAATTATTGCGTCGTACATATTTTCAGTTATTTCGTTGCCAAAACAAAAAAAAAAACGTCGGTGTTAAACAAATTTGAATTAGGTTCGAGAACCATTGAAAACTCTTTAACACCAAAAAATTTGACCGAGTGGATAATAATTTTTTAATAAATCCATGTTTGGCCGCTAGAGGTTCCTCTAGCACTTTATTACCACACTTTATACCCACAACTAAAAGTACAGACAGTTTTAAGTACATAGTTCAAATACATTATATTTACATACATATGCATAGGGTCTACTAACAAGAACGACGTGATGATAAAAAACACTCAAATTTGGTCAAAATGGGTTCTGTTTTTTTTTGTTATGCAGATAATTTTATGAATAAAATTGAATAAGATGTCGGCCAATATCTCCAATGTGTCCATGTTTAGACGTAAAACATAAGGCGGTGCAGTCTTGTTAGAAATAGATATCGTCGCGTCGATTTTATCAAACTCAGGGAAAAAAGTCGGTCAACATCGTGTTATAACGTTCGTTATTGATGGTAACGGCATATTTTGCCTAATTTCGAAAGAAATAAGGCCATTTGATGCCGCCATACCACAATCCACACGGAACGGTACATTTTTAGGGATGCAATTGCATTACCTAAACCACACGAGGATTTGACTCATCCCAATAGCGGCAATTTGGTTTGTTGACGAAGCCATTAAGCCAAAAATAGTCCTCATCTAAAAGATGATTTTTCAATGAAAGTTTTTTCAATGATTTTTTCGAGAACGTAAATTTGCATAATAATCTTGGACAACACCGACAAAATTTGCCACAAGTCCATAAACAAACATGGCCACGACGACTTGTCAAAATATCGTCATCCCTGTTGGTAGACGTTGTATATTTTTGAAAAAAGGGCTTTCTCACTATTTTAGTAATGAATGAAAAAAATATTAAGAATTGTATAATGAACAAGCTTAGTATAAGAGGATATTATTAAAAAGTAAAACGATTTACAATGGATTATATGTTATGACGTTTTTAAAATAGCCTTTTTATGTAAAGTTGTGCGGAAAGTAATAACTCTCAAGTCCAATAATACGTATACTTATATCTTCTATAATTCGTTTTTAATTTAATTACATTAAATACATTGTGTGTCCTATTTTAAAATCTTATTATAAAGTATCTTTAATAGGTTTGCTCAATATTTTTGATCTATTTACTTTATTTGGAGTTTTGTTCGAACATATTTATTCGTGGTATAAACTTATTGAGATAATTGCTTAGATATTCTAATAGATAGATTTTCTTTAGTGATAGCTGCTTGTGGTAAACAAGCCAAAACGTAGCCAATTCTTCTTAATATTACTCTGCCAACTAATTTTCAAAATTATATTTAAAATTTTAAGAAAATTAATTGTACAACAATTATACTTAATCAATGGCCAAACGTTTCCAAATTCCAAAATTGTTGATAATAAATTATTATTCAATAATTCATATATAAGGCGCGTAGTTATGTATGTTACAGTGTTAAATGTTGATTATACTCGAATTTAATAAACACTAAAATTAAAAGATTTACAAAAATAATATTTTAATCGTATATATAATATTTACATTTATGCATATGACACATTGTAGCATACGGTAAGTGGTTAGGTAAAACAAGAAATGTGAAAGTATTTTTTCAAAGCTTTACAAATATATACTTTCCAGCTATACTCATACATGATTTAGCTGCAATATAGCGTGGACTAAAATCCTGGTGATGCTTAGACATAATGTTGTTTGAGTTTGTTGTTTCTGCTGAGGTGAAAATCCTTAGTTCCGGTTACAAGCACCCAATTATCGTGGGAACGGGAAAATTTTTATTTTTTTTTGGGTGGTAAGCGTTATTATCTTGCACTTTATTATCTCCTCATCTTTATAATAAGGGTATTCACGCCAGTTTGTTAATTCGTTAGTCGTTATTCGGTAGTTTTTTACATGCGTTTTGTTTTGCTAAAATTAATAGGTTATCGTTTAACCGAGTAACGAAGTACCAGTGTGAGAAGCTTGATAGGTTTTTTGTTACATGGTAACATCAAATCAGCTATTTGTTTTGCGTCGTTGTCTAAAAAGTTCATTGGATTCATTACGAAAAAAAAAATTTGCTGCTCGCTGCAAAATAGTGTTGGACAAATTTTTCAAAAATAAGTATTTAATAAAATTGAATCAACTGTTTTGGAACAAAGTTTACCACACTACTGAGATAGAGAAAAAAGTATATTCACAGTAAAGCGTTTTAACGAGGTATCAACTAACGAATTACCAGATTAACATGTTCAGTTTGAATACCCCTAAAGAATCGGTGTGGTTAAGTTAGATCATGGAGCTGATACTTGTTTAAATTTTTAAGTATGGGTCAAAAGACTCATTTGTATCGACAAGGTGCTGTAAGTTTGTCACAAATTTGCTTAGACGACTAGTAATAACTCCATTCTATTCGTCAGTTATGTCGAGGGTATAAATATCGAGATATTTCAACCTTAATTTAAAGCTGAACATTGGAAATGAAGATATTTCCACTTCACCTTTTAGGACAAGAGAGTCAGCCTTACCGCATTTATGCCTAGTGTAGAGTGTCCAGTTAGACCTCCTAAAATAGTTCAATGACCTCACACTTTCCGCTCTATGCTTCGCAGCCCATTTATGTATAACAATAAAAAACGTATTTCCTTTGAGCGATCAATAAGAGGTGATCTGACCGTTATGGAAAATCTAAAGACGTAGATGATAACACAGGAAGAGTTAGAATTCAAGTGACATCTAAAAGTGAGATCAAAGTTATAAAGAGACCGCCACTCAGTGTAAGAGAAAAAAATGAAAGTGTTGTTTAAAAAGGGATTAGATATACTTGTGTCTCTAAGACGTCAAAGATCTAGCATCAAACGGAGCAGTACTATAATCAAACCCTTACTTTCAAAAACACATATTGAAAAAAGATTGGACGCTGGAAAACATTCACCGTGATTGAAGCAAACATATGAGTCAACTTTTGTATTTTTCCTTGAGACGAGTTTGGCTAAGAAAAGAACAAAGATTTATTCAAAGGAGTTTTAGGCATCCCAAAAAGAGGTGCATGTTAATGGATGCTTTTCTGCTCATGGATTTGGGGTTTTGAGGTGCTTCACGCGGTTATAATTATAGAATTATATAAAAAGGGTTTACGGAAGTCACTTGAAATACTTTACAGAAAAAATAACCATAATTGGATACTGCAAGAAGGTAATGATCTGAAATATAGAAGCAGACTCTGTACTCAATGGAAGCAAGAAAACCATATCGTTACTTGGCCGCCCCAGTTACCAGACGCCAATCCTATAGAGAAACGAACGACAAAATATCAAGAAAACGTTTAACGTCAATAAAATATTTCACTCGGCTACTCCACTAGACCTGACGATCGTTTCCTGTGGAATATGACGAAATTAGTTGCAGGTTTCTATCAAAAATGTCAGGCTATAATAGACTAGCCAAGTATTTAACAAACGTCAGCTACAAAAAAACAATTTTTTTTCTATAATTACAAAATTTTGGAAAATGAAAATGTTATTTTTTGCTCGCACTGTAAGTATCATTTGAAAAATATTAACGGTTGAAGTTTGACTATTTTAAGGCAAATTTGTTTTTTTCTTTTGAATATTATAACTCTAGTCTAAATCATCGGTATCTGGGGGCTTGAACAGTTATGGTCCGATTTTGACAATATTAAGATTTGAGATGACGTACCTTAAAGGTATTATTTGTGCAAAGTTTCACCCCGACGTATTCACTGGCAGCTTGATTTGTATACTGGAAAGTGAAAAAAACAGATGTAATTTATAGTTTTGTTATATGGGAAGTAGGCATGGTTGCAGTTCGAATTAGCAATTTTTGACGTTGTGATCTAGAAATGTCATATGGATGCTATGTGTCAAATTTGGATAAAATTGGTCGAATAGATCTGGAGATATGATTATAGAGCCTCCTCATACCATCCTGGATGTAAATTTTAATAGCTCTGACGCATTTAATTTTTATTTTTGAACTTTAAGTAATTTTTAACAAAACCGTTATTTGGAAGTGGACGTGGTTATCATCCGACTTTACCTATTTTCGCAATGTCGTAAAAGATGCCCAAGATTGCCCTTTGGAGATTTGGGTGATATAGCTTGAATGGTTCGAGAGATATATACATTAAAAGTATTAAGGGCGTGGCCACACCCACTTTTCAAAGAGGTTTTGTCCAGAGATGCCCCTCGTTAATACGATTCGTTGTACCAATTGAAAGTTTTGAATCTTAATTTACTCGCTTCCACGTACAGATGGACGGACGGACGGACAGACAGTTAACCGGATTTCAACTCGTCTCTTCATCCTGATCATTTATATAAATAACTACCCTATATCTAACTCGATTAGTTTTAGGTGAACAAAACTATTATACTCTGTAGCGACATGTTATAAGAGTATAAAAAGAGACCACTTTCGGTAGAACAGTAAATTTCAAACAAATGAGTTTTGCAATTTAAAATGCTTTTTTTTCATTGAGTTATACAATTTATAAAAAAATGTCGTAAGAGACATTTTCGTAGAACATTCAATTTCCTATGAAACCTATGAAACAAACTATTTTTTCAAGCGATTGGAAGCGAGATAAAGCGATTAAAAACTGTAAGCCGGAGGACCTTCTTGTTACAATCAAGAGCTCATATTTGGAGAACCTTTCTTAGAGATCGCATGGGTTTGATCAGATCGCTGTTTCGTTTCACAATCAGTTCACGGGTTAACACACTGCTTTTTGTAACTATATTACTCAATTTTATTGACATTATCAAAAATACGAACAATGAGAGATTTGAATCGTCTGATTCTAACAATATTTTATTTACTTAATTTATAACTTTTCTTTATATATTATACACTAATTTGAATTATTATGACCAATTAGAATGTGTCAACGAATTAAAGATAATTATAGAAGAATGTTGGGAGCCATAGGGGTGTATAAATTCATAGGCCGATAATATTATAAACAGAAAGAAAATTGTGCAAAATATGACTAAGAAAATGCCAAAGCTACGACGCAGTTCAAAATTAGAAATGCTTAGAGCAATAAATGTATATCCGATCATCAAGAACAGGAACACGTATATGGTTGAATTATTGTTAGTGATGAAAAGCTGCAAATACAAAAAAAGTAAACTTTTAATTAATAATATTCTCGCAATTTATGTAAATTAAGATCGTGCGAATATTGCTCATGATTTAAATATTCGTTATTTTTCGAAATTTTGAAACGACTGCACTGGTAGAGACGAGAAAGTGCTTCAAAATATCACACAATTTGTTTCAATTGTTACAAACATTCATTAAGAGGAACTATTATACTCACATACTGCGAGAGTAACAATAACATTTACTAGAATATATTATATATTGTACACTATGAAAATACTTCGCCCACTCACAATGGAAGATGCATCAAAACAAGGCTGGAAAATCATGGCAGGAAAGCTACCTATTGTATTGTAAACAACCAAGCCGGTGACGAGACCAAACGCAAGATCCACTTCAGCGTACTTAATTAATTCGTAAATCAAAATCATTTCTAAAAAAATAGCAAATAAAGATATAAATATAAAGAAAGTTGATCAAAATCGGTCCTATGGTATTATCAAAGAAGTTTCAAACAAAAACAGAACAAATTACATTTAGTTTACAGCCGTAACTCAGTAATTGTATGCTCAAATATTTGTATTTACCTGTAACACTATTTGTAAATGAGGAACTTGCAACGGTAACATCATCGAGATTCCATCGTATTAGATACTGAAGACTTTGATGAATTAAAGTATCAGCTTCCATGGTAAGTAACTGCCAAATCATGAATGCAGCAAATAATCCAAGTACACTAAAGACCTGGAAATTCACAAATATATGTATATATATATACATACGTATATGAATAATATGGAAACGTCTTGAAAAAATGTCGATGTATAAGTAATCAGACAGCAAGGACCAACACTATGAATAGGTAATATTTATGCTCAGTAAACTTTCTTGACAGATTATAAAAACCCAACCCTCAAAAATATTTAAACAATAAGGTTAACACTTTTATAAAAATAAATTTTATCAGGCATATTCCGACTTTCTAATTTTACCTCTACCTCTAGTACGATCCTCTGCAATACGCAGGGAAACTGTGGTACAAACTGCATTATTTCTGAAGCTATATTTTTTTTTCTTCGACATTTTTAGTGTTGATGTACTTAAGTAAATATTAAAAACTCCTTTGGCTCGCCTAGCCAATTTGATTCTTACTACTAAATAATTCTAAAAATTGAAATGATTAGAAGAATGTAGGGAACTTTTTGTAGAAGGCTGTTGATCTTGGAATACTGATGAGCCTCAGTTGCATACTTACTTTATATAGTCTAGGCGGCTCCGTGGCGCTTGCCTTAAAAAGTAAAACAAGGGCGGCTAGAAATCCAATAAGGAAAAACGCAAGGCAAATTTCCAGTTTTATGTATACGATTAATGGTAACGTTATGAGCATAAGATTTGCACTTAGAAGATACTTATTCCAACCTTGGAAAGGTAAGCTTTCGTTTATAACAGGAATCAATAGGGTCAGAATAATCCACATAGGTGCCTGAAAATATATATATTTAAATAAATTATTTCTATTAATACATTACTATAAAAATGTTTTAAATAGCATATGATCGAAAAGCTATAGGCTTATTAACGTAAGGAATCCGGTTGTAAGAAAAAAGTTATACTATTGTATAAAGTTTTACATATCTAGATGTTTGCTGAAGTTATCGCCCGAACTAGCGGTCACAATTCATTGTTCGTGACAAATTTTGCATACAATCAAATATTTTGAGACACAATTTTTGAAAAACGATTCGAGTATGCTATTTAAAGTTAAATATCGAAATTAGTGCTTTCAGGGACTAACCTGCTCAACTTATTCATTTTGATTTCATGTATGTATGGTATATGTAAACATCTGTAGTGTTCGGTATAAATTAATATCAGATCTCATGGTTCAAAAACTTCCCTTTAATTTTCTTACTGTTCTTAGTTTACACTTTATACATTTTAGAAACTCTTCATACTTACAAACAAGATATTGAAGATTATATACTTTCTTCCGAAAATGTCTCCATACAAATTTTGACAATTCACTTTGAAAGGGGAATTCGTGGTTTCACCATGATCAGCCGACATTGCAGTGATCACTTCGTCGAGCACATCCACTATAACATTTTCATTTTCGATTTGTTCTGGCGTAGGAATAACATCAACATTGGTACTACTTCTCGAAAGCACGGATTTAAATGGATCGTAGAGTTGAGCGAAAAGATAAACCAAATAAATGATGATTAATAATTTGGCATGCCATTCTAACTTTAAATCAGCTTGCCCGTCTTTGGGTAGAATATCATTTTTAGTTTTAAAACTTATCAAGATATACACGTATATATTTCCAAGCAAGATTACTAACAGACTAACGATGCAATTAAATGGCGAGACATGCGAATTTCTTTTAATTGCGATTAATCCCAATCCCATACTATACATGGTTAACGTCTTGCTTCCCAATTCCGTGAGAAAAAGGGAGTATATCTCTTTTGGTGAGTTGCAAATAATCGAAATTTTGAACAAATTCGGCAAGATGAACAGAGTTGACACAATAAGAATGCCACAGTGGTAAGCCTTAATTGTAGACCAGTTAAACAAGGTAAGCACATTTGGTAAAATACTGCAAAAATTGTTTAGAAAATATTGCGTGCCCTTAGTGTGTCGCAGAAATGCATATGTACATTGGTACTTACAACCACCTGGTCATTACGAATATGAAGAATATGAAAAACAGGAGCATCACAAGAGAACAGACGACATAACCGACCTCGCCAAACCAAGATAGATCATCGATCCTTATAGTACAAATAGCGAATTCCAAATAGTTGATGAGTTTCGTATCGAAATTGCAGCGATCATTGTGGCGAATGAGATGACAGTGAGCGTCGGGATCTATGTTTATGCCTATTGGTCGAAAGCAGCTGACCTGTAGGGATTTAAAAGTTTATATGCGACTAAAATGTAGGTATGTACATCTGTTTATGCATAAATAAATTTACCTCAATTTCGCTCGTTACGTATTGCTTGTGCCTGCGCGCCCGTGTGTGCAATTTGAAATTCGTTGTATTTTTTGTGAGCAAACCGTTAGAAGAATTACTCATGGTTTCTATGTGTAAATGAATGTTTTAGCACAATTAATCGAACAATAAGTTTCAATAATTTAAAACAAATGACAAATTTATATAAAGTCAAAATAAATTATAAGAAATGACTCAGCTACATATGTATGCACCCTATACCATGGGCATGTAGACAGTAAGAAAGTTCAAATTCAAATTTCCCTCAAAATGTTGACAGCTAGGAACAAAACATCAAAAATTATTAGTTCTTATTGTTTTGGACTTAAACTATTGCCGATATTTTTGGGTACAATATTTTCAAATTATATCATCAAAAGTTTCCTTGTGGCGAATTTTTCACCAACAAAATTATTTGCCGAGGATAAAAATAGATAGTAATCACTTAGTGCCAGGTTCGAACTATTAGTGGATGCATAAAACCTCCCAACCAAGTTTCGGAGCTTCTTGCGAATCACTATTGATTTGTGTGGCCGGCCGTTGTCCTGATGGATAACTTCTTTCCTATTGGGCAAATCTGGCCGCTTCTGGGTTATTGTTTTCTTCAGATGGTTGGGAGCAGTTCATAGTAGATGCTTTACTGCCGATCCCACTTAACTCATGGTAAAACCTTCCTGACCGTGGATTGCCTATTCTTTGCGCCAGCTCACTGTAACTCAACTACCACTGTTTTCGCTTGACGTAGAAAGTGACCTACTTTTCATCACCAGTAACTATCCGCTTCATAAATGAATCGATTTTGTTGCAATATTTAGCTCCTGGGCAATCGAAACAATGTTTGGATGACTATTCCATTATTTTATCGATGTTTTCGACAACTCACCAACAATGTTTGACATCAAAATTACCTGAGCGGAATTGACTAAACCAAAGGTGCGCGTGTTCGGCTATATGCAAATGGGAAGAGGCTACTTCTTTCTTTTATAACCTCGATCAAATAGCTTCGTCGGTCAAGTCAGGAAGAATGTCAAATTAAAAAGAAAAAAGATATTTTCAACTATTCATTCTACTAAATTTCAAAAATACAGTTGGAAAGTTCTCGTTTAAAAGATAACTTCTGTATTGTGTACGCTTTACTTGGCCTAAATTCTTTAGTTTCAGTAAAGGGACCTACCGACTTGGCAACATATATTAAAAAACACCTACTGTATCAATTATTTTAAAATTTTAAGAGTATATTTTTACATATTTTAAGTTTAAAGATAGGCTGATGGAGTTGATTGAATTGAGCGTCTACACAGAGGGCAGTAACATAAAAACTATTTGAAATATCGATTTTAGTATCTTATTTTTAAAGGTTTTTAGAATCTATCGAAAAATTAATTTGTTTTTAATTCAGAATATTTTAAATATGAGTAATTATAATCGGTCTATATAGATTAGAAGTTAATTCGTCGTAAATAGAAAATAATTGATCAACCGAATTTACTTAAATGGTAGGTGCATAATAATTTAAGTATGTAACTATATATATATATATGTATGAATATACATACATTTAAATTTTCACTGGGATTACGATTAAAGTGGTGAGGGCTAGGCAGTAACTGAAACATTAGTTCATAGCTAGTAGGGTTTTCCATTTTCATAATCAAATTGGTTTGATTTTACGTTTCCACCGTAAGATCATATTGTAAAGTCCAAATTTATTGTTGTTGTGCATGCTCATTCATACCTGCATACCTTTGATGCATTCAATGTTGCACAGTAAGCAATTTCTGAACTACCTCTCTCATTGTCCAGGTACCTTTAGGTGCTCATTAAAAGAGGAAGAAAAATCACCGCAGTTGCCACGATGCTAAGCAGACAGAAAGCAAAGTAAACGCACCATGTATTTGAAGATAGTCAAACAATTGGTTGCTTGAACGCAATGAAGAGATGTCTAAGAGCAGCGAGAGTAAGAGTAGTACAAAGAAGTCAATGAAAACAAGTAGGAGCGCTCTGTCTTCTAACTTCTTATTATGCTCCCTACAGACTACATATGCTTGTATGTATGGCGAGTATCAACAGATCTACTGAGTAGCCAGTCTACTTTGGGTTGTCGGTGAGCAAGGCTCATATTATGTGACGGTGTTTGGCAAAGTAATTACATTTCAAGTGGAAGTTACGCTTTTCTTTGTTAATATTTATCATAATTGGAGTGGAATTTCATTAATTTTTTTACAAAAGTTGTGCAATTGGGTATTGTATGAGTGCTTGCACCGTTGCACCTGGCATAATCGTGGAATTTCTCGCAAGAGTTCAACTTCAGTAATACTTGTGCGTGCCTGGTTCGTCACGGCTGCTCCCATAGAGTCATTGTTACGACTTGGGAATACGTTCGAAAGCCAGTAAAATGTGGTTTTAATGAAAGGGTCAAACCGGTTTAATGTCACAATGGACGCAAACAACCGTGTGGGAGCATGCTAGTAGCAGAGCAACGTAAGATCAACAAACATTTTAGAATTGGAGTATTGAGTGCAGGAGTGTAATGAAATTATTATTACGTATATATACTCGTACATAAGTGCATATGTACGAATTGTGACTTTGTGTTCTTATGAAAATTATATGGTGAATACATAAATGCGCTTCTTTTAGATTTATCAATTGAATTGCCGCATTCTGTCGTCAATTATAGGATACGAGTATGATAACCAAAATCACGTATAGTACAAAACATGGCTTCAAATAACTTAAATACAAACTCAGTGAACCAACAACATCGACCAGTCGATGAATTGGATTTGGAGTTGCGACAACATGCGTCCACCAGTCATTCTTACCCGTCGAATTTCGTAAATGCAACTAATCATCACCTTTCCAGTGGCAGCTTGACAGAAAATAGCGCATCCTCAGTAGGCACGCAACAGCATCAGTACCATTACATACAGTATCCGCCATATTACTATCACATCGGTGGGCATGCGCATCGATCGCAACAGCAACAACAACAACAGGCACAATTTTTACACGCGCAACAACTGACTGGACTGCCGGAAGTCACCTGTCATTGTCATTGTTCTTGCGGTGCCCAGCAGCAACAACAACAATTGTGGAATCAAAGACAATATCAACAGCAAAATATAACGGCTTCCACGGCTACGATCGGCCAGAGGCAAAATGAGGAGGACTCCAGTAAAATTGTAGTGCAAGTGCATTGTCAATCAAATGATGACGCTGATTGCGAACGCGAACGCAACACGCAGCCACCCACCAAAGCGCAATCGGAGCAATCACTACTGAATCACTCGTACCAAACACTGCAACTGCAAGCGAGTACGGAGGAGAAACCTTTGAATGTGCTGCATAACTCCCAGTTAAATATCAGCTGCGATTGTGATTTGGAATGTACTTGTGGTGCGGAAAGGCTGCGGGGGACCGCCAGCGAAGCCGCTACTATGCATACTAAAACGGCTGCGAGCGATGACAATTTGGACACAGATGTTTTAGATAATCCATCACCATTGAAAAACCAGAAGCAATGTCAGCTGGAAGCCATGCTAGGTGCTGATGAGATCACAGTCAGTGAGTCGGACAACAATAGTACTATGATTAAGAAGAAGAAAAAAACGAGTGGTGCTTGCAAGCACACTAATAACGAGATGTAATGATATTTTTAAATTTTTATAAATTTATATTTTTTTATCTTATACGTGCATTTCAGAAACTCTTGGTGCCATATGCAAGACCAGAATTCAGCACTGGCCGCTGATCAAAGCTGTGACTGCCATTACAATTCTAGCCGTATAGAAATCTACAGCGATGGTGATAGCAAAGCTGGCCACGACTCTATTGATGATCAGCGGCCACCACTGCCTCCACGCCCACCACCTCCTCCTCGATTGCGTCATGCAACAATAACAGGAAATGGTGGGTAAAAGAATATATTTTACAAAATGTTTATTTCAGTTTTCAGTTTCGCTTACCGCTAGTCGCTTACCGTTAATTTCATGTATGGCTTCTTGAATGCAAATTTGAGGCACAATTTAAAAACTCTTATTAAGATACAAGTATATATATATATATATATACATATACATATATATATATACATATACATATATATATATGTATATATTAGAAAATACGAACAATAAAATGTTCAATCAGTTACATGAATTGGTAACATTCGTTTGGGTTGTCAGATTTTAATATATATAGGTATGTATACTTCTGCACGTTAAATGGTCAGCCTTCTCCTCCGATAAATATGCTGGCCAATAACAATATAAAAACAACTTGTTAGTCCAAGAAATCTATGAACCTTTTGCTCGAAAGGAGAGTATTTGTCTTCTTCATGGACTTGTGATACTATGTTAGCCATTTTCGGAACACAAGTATATGTCGATCGTCATCGAAGAAGAACATCGGATACAGCATCTAAACGCTCTTTTATTTCGCTTCGTGATTTGCCTTCATCTCCAATCCAATTAAAAAGAAGAGCATCAACCCCTGCTGAGTAAAAGTGATAAAGTTGTCTATCAGTTGCAATTCCTGTAGGCATTACGCTTAATTAGCTGTTTGTGTACATATATTTGTGAATGTGTCCACATGTCAATTCAATGTATTGACTCTACTTGCAGTTAGACAAACCTAGACATTTATGATCTGCACATGCGCTTAAAACATATTCATGTATCTTGCAGGAAAATTTTGACAATTGAGTGGTATAGTGTTAATATGAATTATATAAAGTTTTCTCTTTGGGAAGAAAAACAATTAATATTTATTTGAAACTTAGGATGCTTTATCCGTTTGTAATAATAAATAGCCTCTAAAAGATGTTCACAATTCTCAAGAGACTGACTTCACGTTATTCATGTTCATGTAATGTAGTTTTCACGCTACGATAAATTATGCCATAATACCTAATTTTATTATCATTATGTATGTTTGATAGCTTTTTTGCATCTTTTCATTTATCACTTCCGTAAATTCATTAGACGCTGCCTGCTCGATTTCCCGCCAGGCATTTGTGTACAGACAGACAACGTAAACATATTTGTTTATGAATATTAGCGAAAGCGTTAAGAGAAAATTCCTCAAGTGTACATTAAGGAAGGATGTGACGCGTGGTCCAAAGCACAGGACACAACGAACAAGTGTCTGACAGAGGAAAGCTTTTTGTTTTGCTAACGAAGAAAGCTTTCACTGTATTTGCGCCAACTCGGTTAGGTTTAGACATTCAGTATGTGGGCAGAACGTTAAAGGAGAAGTATGGCAGCGGATAGTTGAAACTGCGAAAGGATATTCGCTACGATACTCATTAAAATTGTGTATAGATACTGAAAATTGGAGCCAAAGAAATTTTACACAAACATTTTTTTTGGCTTCCAAAATATTTAAACGGGTTCATTTCGTTGTGAATGTAAATGCTGTGTTCGTGACAAAAAAAATATGCGAAAAAGTTAAATTTTAGTTAGTTGAAAATCTTTATACTAAAGAAATCGACGAGTTATTCATGTGTTTAAAATTAATTACGTGAATAAATGTAAATTTGCACAGGTGCTTCAAGCTGCGTCCTTTGCTTTATATGGCAGCAGCAACCAAAAAGTAAAAAAGAATTTAAGTTGCATAAATTCCTTTAGTGTTCGGCGTGTTACATACCAAAGCTAAAGCTAAGTAGCAGTATGCACGGTTATCCTGTAATGCAGTTTGTACAGTATAGTGTGCCGCCGCCTTGTGGTTGGATACCACAGCCTGACCCACTACGCAATATTGCCCCCGCGCCTACGTTGGGTTAGATCAATTTTATTTATATATTATTCAATGTTTTAGTTGTACTTTAATTTTAATTTGTAAATTTTGTTACTTTAATTTTTGTTGTTGTCATTTTTATATAGGTACTCATCGTCATGGTCCGGGTATAAAGAAATACGTTGTATGGTGCCTCATCTGCGGCGGCTTTTCGTGCCTGCTAGGCATTTTATTTCTGGGTGTTTACTTCCTATTGCACTCGTACACTATTACTGTCGGAAACTTTGAAACGGTACCCACTTTTGTGCCAGCAACAATGGTAATTCAATTATATATTTAATTGTAATATATAGGCAAATATCAAAATTTTTTCATTTTAGTTAATCCTAACTGGTATCTGCATAATAAGTTTGGCGCGCCGGCGGAATCGATACAGTTATTTGGTAAGACGCTCAAACATTTACATACTATGTACCTATCTAACTGCTTTCACAGATGTTGATCTAGTTTTTATATCCCCTAACAGGTAAATTAAGTTTACCAAGATGTTTGTAAATCCGAAAAGTAAACTTCGGATACACTACAATAGTCCGTCTGTCTCTCCGCCTGTATATTTATACTCTAATTAGCACCTGAATTTGTGAGATATTGATTTGAAATTTGCACACGTCCTTTTCTCTTCGCGAAGCTACTCATTTGTCTCAAAAAATTCGTTTTGTTACTTTACTTATACTTTTAACTACCTTGGTTAAAAGATCTTTGGCTTGACAAAAATATATATATATTCAACCAAAGTATATCGTTATCTTAGACAAAGTTGCAGTCGGTCGGCAAGGTTTTGGCCAGTTGTTTCGATATTCATATGGAACTACTTTTATCGACTACCTCGAACGTGGTAAAACAATGAATGAACAATATAATAAAGCGTTATTGCGTCGATTGGATGTTGAGATCAAAGCTAGGCCAAACTTTTAGCCCTACGTCTATATTTATGTATTTCTAAAGTTTATTAGTTTGGCTGTAGTTTAACTACGTTAAAAATGTTATTGAAAAAGGTTGTACAAGTAGAAAATGCTTTTTTAAGTTTTGGCGCCGTTCTTAACCAATATCAAATCCCTAGCTTGCTCGGCTTCGTTATTTGTTAGTAAAATACAAGAAACCGCTACAACGGGGAAATTTGGTATTATCTATTTTTGTTCTCGTGTTTGAAAAACATGAACCATGTAATTTATTATGTAACAATATATAATATAACTTAAGTCCTTATTCATATTGTTATCATAATTCTAGTGTGGGTATTTAGTTTACACATAGTCACATACCATATATCTAATGAAAATCAGTAGCTTTAACTTATTAACTAACCATTAAATGCAAATATTTCCTCTCAGATTAAACTTTCCGGTGTTTGTGGACTAATATCCGCATTGACATGTGCGCTTGTGACTGTCACAACAACCGTTCTACACATGAGTCGTTTGCAGGCTCTGCGTGAGTGCGAATACGCACAAAAGACACGTACTTGCACTTGTTATTCTGATATGATTGAATCCCAAGTGGATCGTGTGGACAAAGGTAAAGCATCGTTCTTATATTGTCAATTTAAAACTCACGCAACATTAATTCAAGTGCTTGTCCCTTTTATCACTAGAAGGTGTTCGCCTAGTATTTGATTCGCTGTCTGATTGTGGAGTAGTGCATGGCTCTCTCTACTCTTGCCTACGCGCTATATTTGGGCTTTCTGTAGCAGGTGTCTTGGTTGCTGTATTTAGCTGTATGCTCGTCTATCAGCTACTCAGGTTAGTAGTTTGAAAATTCATCTATTTTCGTTTGTTATGAAACTATTCTATAATTTTTATGTGCAGTCATGAGCGTAAAAAGATGTATTGGGAGCAATTGGAGTTGCGTTGCCGCTCATTATATACCAGCCAGCAAGGTCCGCCGCCAAATATGGCCGCTATGGGCGGTGGTCGCGGTCCGGTTTGTCGCTGTTGTGAACAATGTCATCTGCATCGTCAAGTACCGCTCCCAGCAACGGCATATCCTTGGGATGACAACGGTGAACCACGATTCTGGACTGGACAACCGCCTGGCAACTTTTACTCACCAAATCCGGGAGGCGATGATTTGCATATGGGCAATTCAGGAACGACATGCCGCGGCCATGGCGGTGCTTCAGGGGCACGTAGCCGTACGACTGGTTGGAGTTGGCCGCGTATGCCTTGGCAAAGAAATTCTCCCGTGCCCAATACAAGGCAATTTCGTCAAACACCGTCAAGTCCGGATTCACAGTACGGTTTCACAAATAATGCGCCCGTTGAGAATATGATGAATGAATCTGATACTGCAACAGACGTGGCACATAACACAACGGCTCCTGCTTTTAATGTTGTTGGTGGTGCGTTACCTTACGGAGTTTGGGGTCCACCACCGCCATACAGTGATCCCAATAGTCCTGCTCGACGTGGATACTATCAATACATACAACCGAACTTGTGTAGCAATAATATAGCTATTACCAACAATATTAATCACAGTAATAGCAATATGTCCGCTGAAAATATCGTTGGTGAGCCGACTGAACAGCGCATGCCTTGCCTAAATCATCGTTCAGTTTTTTTGGAACAGCAACCACATCCACTTAATAATGGCAACAATTGCTGTCCATCCGCCAGTATGCGTCGTAATTTGGCAAAACGTCGCACGACCGGAGGTGCAGGTGGTGGTAGTGGCAGCGGTGGTGAAGATACCATGAAGTCAAAGACTGGTGGTGGCGATTATGAGAATACCCCCTCAGAAAGTGACGGTTGCAACATGCGAGATCGCTTCTCCAATACTTTGCCCACACGGAAGGTTAAAAAACGAAACGACAACAATGCCAAGGCCAACATCATTGGTAATGCAAATCCTCAGCCAGCTCCAAGACTTGCCATGCAACAGGCTATTTCTAATAATGACACAAGCTGTGCTAATGAGGTTTCGGAGTCAACACTTGATGATAATGAATGCATGGAGGAAATCAATGCCAGTTTGTGTAACGAAGAGATGAATATGGCTACACCAGGAAGTCGAACGTCCACACGTGTCAGTACCAGAGCAACTCTGCGTCGTAATTGTGGAATTGAAAACAATGGTTTCCAGTCGAATAGTGAGGTAGGCGCTGTGACCCAGTCCATTGCCACAGGAGAGTCTGACGCACTTGTGATAGCAGCAGATATGCATGGTACCGGTGATCCCGCCGAGTCAGAAGTGTACTTTGCTGATGTTAGCAGTTGTTGCAATATGTCTCTAAAAAACGATAACTACTATGATGAGGCGCATCAGACTACCCATCATCATCAGCATCAGAATAGCAATTGCAGTCAAAATAGTAGCAGTACTAATGAGGATTATCTAGCACAACGTTTTGGTCAGCGAGAAAATTCAATACGCAGTCGCCTTCCATTTCCACAGACGCGTAGCAATGACTACGAGGAAAATTTGAATACACACAATACGAAAGACATTAGTGGCAATGTTACACCAATTAACCAAATGCAAAAGGAAATTTCACGCCAAAGCATGTGTTCCGTAGAGTCCGAAGCTCAGACTGAATGCACCGACTTATCGCCGGCCACACCGTGCAGCAATAAGTTTGGTCAAACTAATTTTGAAAGTAAAATCATACCGATTAATGATGGCAATGAGAACGTTCTGCAACCACGCACAACTGGTGCACCGTTGCCCAACTTCGTAGCCAAGTTTCCATATTCTTCGGAATCACAAAGTTTGGAAGCACATCGACGCTCCACAAAAGACATACACGATCTGATACTCTCTTCAGAGGCACACTACGAGGTGATTAACGACAATCCACAACCGACGCTGCCTTGTCAATTCACCGCACAACAACAAAACACGCGCATTAACAAACCACAGCCACAGCGTCCAACAAATCTTTCGGCTGGCAAAACAAAAGCGAAACATGGCATTAAAACACGTGATCGCATAGAAGTAAATGTGCTGCCAAATGAACGAGACTGGAATAAGGGGCCAGGTTTAGGTGGCGGTGGATGTGGCAATAACGAACGGAAATGCTTGTGAGAAGAAGTTTTCGTATAAAACGAGGTTTAGGAAAAGTTTATGAATAATAACATTAGGTCTGAAAGTTGAAAAGACTTTGTCGATTTTGTGAGAACAAAAGGTCATGGCTATTATATGGTATATACTTCAGAGAATGCTCTATCGTAAACCATACATACATTCCAATTTTGGAACTTATTTGGTTTATATCTCTAAAATTATTCATTATTTACTGTATGAAGAGCAGTCCATGTACGATAAAAACTAAAATCTATTATAAGAACGGGGTTTCTTTACTTAACAATAAGAAATGTAATTATTAAAAATAATTGCCAAGGAAGAGTATTTTCTGTTTTCGCATCATGATTAGGAAAATTTTGAATTCATGTTTAAAAAGGCAATTTTTGTATTTAAAATGGTAATTCCTGTTAACACGGGACAACGACACTTAAGTGATTAAGAAGTCAGTAAATATGTATTTTAATAAAAATTCCCTGAGGATTTTCCAGAAAACACACATTCAGATTCTCTCATTTCGTTTAACTGCTATATGAAAAAACATTAATTTCAAATTTTTTTTTTTGAACACGAGCACTTCCAAATGTAACATTTTTTTTTAATGCTCCGGTCGTTATTGGCGTCCATTTCATGATCACTTCTGCCATCCATCAGCTCCTAACGATCCAGTGTTAAACTGGTCACATGAAGATAATTGTTTTAAGGACTCAAATGTTCATATCTAAACTTATTTAAATGTGTAGGGCACACATACATATACTATACATAATAATTATATATCAGCTACAAAACATTTCTATATTTATTTCATTTTTGATTTTCGAAATATCTATACTCGCATATATATTTAAAGCTTAATGACTATATACGTGTATATATGTACATACCTATTTATGTACGATTTTATATAAGTTCGCGAAGCCACATATACATATATTTATATACAAATTTATTATTTATCCCATAAACAAATTCATCTACTAGATATGTGTTTCAAGAAGTATCTTCGGTGTCTACATACATATATTAAATTAATAAAACTTACAGAACTGATTTTACGCATACACAATATATAATATAAAGATACATATGTACATATGTATGCATTTGTTGTTAGGGTTAAGTATGTATCGCATATAATTGATAATAATTTAGTGTTATGCATAGACAATATACAAAGTTATATAAATTTGTGTACGTACGTATTAGTTTTGTTCACAAGGTTTTACTGAATTAAAATATACAGACAGGACACTTACACACTTACATACATACATATATAATGTTAAAAATGGTATTCATAATATATAAATATAATATAAATAAATAAGACCATACTTATATACATATGTAAAGGTGTTGGTTCGGTTTATTTTGAGCAAATATATCCCTTTTATATGTTTATATAAATTAATTGTTAATTTTAAGGTTAATTTGTTAATTTGCTTAAGGTGATCTATAAGTTTAAGTTTTACTACAAGAAGCTGTATTCATGAATAATAAATGCCGGTGCATATATAAATTATACACACATACATAAAATTAACATATGATAAATACTAAATATCGAAGTATGAAGCTTTTTGATTCTAATTATTAATTGTTGTTTGTAATGAATTACAATTACTGTAAGTATGTAGTTAAATGCATATAATTAAATGTATGTACATATGTAGACTGTTAGCATTTGAATTTGTTATACATATTATATATACTATAGCTAAAGGAAAATATACTGCTGAGAGTATGTCTAAGAAATACATTAACAAGAAATAAAAATCCAAATAAATCAATGCGAAATATACAAAATTTTATTTAAAATCCGGGGAGAAATTAATAAATTGATTATGTTTATATGTATATACCTTACTTTTTAGAAACCGCTCTGAGTATATTTTTATATGCATGTATTATACTCGTATAAGTTAGTATGATTCTTAAAAGTAAGTAGAACACTTTTAAAGCAGATTCCCTAAAATTCATAGTTTTGTTCAATCGATCTATTATTGCAAATCTTTTAAAGATTAAAATATTATCAAATTTTGCTTTTCAATTCGATCCACCTTTTGAGATTGGCTTTCACCTTGTTGTTATGCAACTAATATACTTATACTAGGTTGGCTGAAATTTCGTATTTACATGAGATGACATACAAAATATATATCTTTTACGCAAGTTTTGTAATTTTCAAAAATAAATGGAGAAAACGAATTTTGTATGAAAATTAAACACTACTATTTTTATACCCTGAATAGGGTATATTAAGTTTGTTACGATGTTTGTAACACCCAAACGAAAAAGTCAGAGACCCTATAAAGTGTTTGTATAAATGATCAGCGTGACGATTTGAGTCGATTTAGCCATACCCAACCGCTCGTCAGTCTGTGTGTATATGGTATATGCGAGACCCTCAGTTTTAGAGGGTTTACACCCGTCCTTTTCTCGCCAAGAAGCTGCTCATTTGTCCGAACGGCCGATATCGGACCACTACTTCATTTGAGGAGATATCTTCAACAAATTGGACATGGGTTATTGTCCAAGGCAACGATCAAGTCTTCGAAAAAATTGTTCAGATCGAGTCACTATGGCAGATAGCTGACATACAAACTGACCAATCAAATATCTTGTAAGGAATGTTTGTATTTGTGAAGGATATTAAAGCTTCGGATCAATCGAACTTAACGGGTTTTCTGGTTTAATTTTACTAATACCAAATATGAGCACTAAAAGGGAGAACCCAGTGAACATCCACATGAGACCATTATTTGTGTAGTAGATGTTAGTAATATTACAATGTGACGGGTGAAAAAGCGGGTTTTTCAAACTTGCAACTGCATATAACCCGCCACCACTTGCCAGTCAGAAAAAACCTGTTATTAAATTTTTTTAAAGAGTATATTTATTTAATAAATAAATTTCAGTTTTAAAAATTTTGATTCCTTAGTTTTTGTAGCCGTGTTCCAGGAGAACCTCCGAAAAAAGATGTTTGACTTCAAAAACTAAAAAAAATTTATTATTATGATATATATATAGTGATCGAAGGACTAGACAAAATTTGAATTTTTTGAAAATTTTAAGCCGGTGTACCGAACGGTTTTAAAGAAATTTTGTTCACCGACTCTGATAACATCACTTCTAATAAAACGTGTTTAATGTTTTGTAAGCTGTTTACGTTAACTTAAAATATTCTTACAAAACTATGTGTCGGATTAACTTGTAAATTTATGTACATTCGATGTATGAATGTATATGCAAAAAAAAAATCGTTTTTTGAAATTCATAAGTGTTTATAACCCCTTAAAAGTAATTACAAATAAAAAAGTTATACATGATTATAATAAAAAAGTTATACATAAAATACATGCAAAGGTTATGTTGAAAAAATGTATATAAAGATACGATAAGGTACAACAGTAAGATAGTCAAAGTACTAAAGACTGGGTCAACCACTAGTTTTGTTTTTTAGAACTTGAAGAAAACTTGTCTTCAAGAAAATCTGTTTTTTCAAGATTAAAGTTATTGACAATAATAATAAAACTCGTTCAGAAAAATTAATGAATATCAGTGTAAGCTTTTTTAGTTCAGTTAAGTTAGGCTTTTATAGTTTCATTTAAGTGCACATGCTACAACAATTTTAAATAATGGGCCACAAACCGTGAATATTCATAATTTTAAAAAGTACTTATGGATGTACATATGTATTAAAAACTTAGCTACGATGAGCCACAAAAGATATATTTGAGCCTCAGTTCTATAAAGAACAATCTTTTCTGATTTTCGTTTTACTTTATTAAAATGTATATAAATGGTTAATTTACTACTTCTAGCGACTTTTTACAATTATTTCAAAACTAAAGCTAATTATCAAACATTTTATATATATTAAGTACTTTAGGAATTTTATAAGTACACCTATTTATAGTATGTATTTAAGCATATTTAATTTGCCATGACATAACAGAAAAAAAAATGAATAACCCAAAAGTAGAATAAGATCTCAATGCTTAGTAAGTACAAAAAAAAAGTCTTAATTAAAACTTTATAATACTAACTGATATGTGAAAAGTACAAATGCAATGAGGTAAAGAAGACTTGTGTGCAACAATACTTTTCCAGATGCGTTGCTGTTCTTTCGGTCTTCTATGCTGCCATGTGGAATCTCATTATCTTCTATAGTTTGCTCCACTTCGTCCAATGCCAGTGTGGTGGCTTCATTAATAGTACGCAATAATGGATAGTTTGAATTGACGCGCTTCGGCATAATTGGATGTCCATTGCTTTGTAGATACTTGTAATCCGCATAGATGTCATCCTCAGGCGCACAGCTGCCGCGGAAATCATCAGTGTCTATGGACCATATCATCGTACCAGCAAGTTTTTTCTCGACAGCAAACTTGACTTTATTTGCAATTGAGCGAGCGCTATCGTATGTGACTACTTGCACTAGACCACTGAAAACATCACGTTCGGAGCGTGCTAACATTTGGGATGTTTTCGCATCCCAAGTTGTGGTCCAGCCTGAAGTTTTGTTGCTTAGAATGTTGCAGATTTCATTGTAACCAAGGAATCCATCCTCACGTGTAAAGGGACCTTGAAAAGCGGTGCCGTCCGTAACATCGCCTGCATTACCGTTTCGCGGTGTTCTAAAGGTGCGACCATAAAAGGGTAAGCCTATCACAATTTTATTTGGAGGTGCACCCAATTTCAGCAGATAATCAATTGTAAACTCCTGCAATTGAAAGCTTTTTGTGTGAGTATACCATATGCATGGTATATAGATTTGTGCTAAAAGCAATACTCTTACTCACCACGCTAAGTACATCACCTTCGGGCGCTCTGAGCGGTGCATTATAGCCAACTTGCTTATCCCAACTGCCATGATAATCATAACACATAATATGTAAATAATCGAGGTATCGTGAGATTTGACGCACATCATATGCTTGATCAATAACATTCTTGGCCGCTCCGATTGCTGACGTCAACAATAAACCATAATTATCGAACTCGTCTCTCAATTCTTTTGTAAGTAGTACGAAATTTTCACGATCTTGTGGGCGGCCACCACGCTGCGTTGGATATTCCCAATCCAGGTCGAGACCATCGAAATTATATTTACGTATGAATGTGGTGACTTGTTTCACAAAGCGACGACGCTGTTCCGGATCGGCTACTAGTAATGAGTAATTTTTCGAACCCTCATTCCATCCACCAATAGCCAAACTGACCTTCAAATGCGGATGTGTGATTTTGAAACCCGTCAAGTGTTCATAACCACCCTTACCGTAATCTTCCTTTAAGTCTTGCCATGGATCTGCAGGGCGAAAATGGAATTGCTTATGACATGGAAATATTTTGTTAGCAACAATAAAAGAAGTTATATTTACCCAAAGATTTAATGGCCGACTGTGTGATATCAAGGCCAGCAAAAGCATAAATTACATGTGTGCACAGGTTTGGATCAAAGTTATCGATCGCATATGCGCCATTACCCGGCCGGTAAACTGCCCACGTTGAAATATAACACACCACCAATTTACCATGGGTTGGTCCTGCATTCAGTTTTGGTTAGCGAAAAAAAATCGTATTAAATTTCAATTGATTAAATAAAATTGTAACTTTGTATGTATAAACATAAACCAAAGGTATTTCATTACAAATTATTACCTGTCTTTGCTGTCGCTGAGCACGCAATGGAAGCGATGACTAAGAGTGTAAGTATCAGCTTATTTCCGGTACTTATGTAAAAAGAAGCCATTTGTAAATAAAAGTTTCAAATAAAAACTTTGGCCTTTGATTTATAGGTGTTTTATATCCTGGAATAAATCGAAATAGTTCAGTACTATCTTATTAGAATGCGGTACAGGTTCTTGATCTATTCTTCGAACGGTAACTTTTTACAAGGCAGTGTACTACGGAGAGGCAATCGCCATCCTTTGCAGAACTTTAAAACATTATCTAAATTGGTTTCGTGAGACTGCTAATTTTAAGAACTTGGATATATGATTTTTAAACCATAATCTTGGGATTTGGTATTCAAACCAACTCTGTTTCTTGAATTGTTGTAAAGCTCTTCCTTACTATTTTGGTTGTGAAATTTAATGCTTGTGGCTCATTTATTCAGAGAGTTATCGAAATTTTAGTGGTTTTCAACATAACCGTTATATGGGGAGTGGGCGTGGTTATTATCTGATTTTACTCATATTCACAAAGCTTAAAGAGGTGTTACTTCTTCTCAGCAAGTTTAGTTGATATAGCTTTAGCGGTTTGGAAGACATGTACATTAAACCATTTAGAGGGCGGGGCCACACCCACGCACGTACAGACGGAAGGAAAGACAATCTTTCGATATTCAGGAAAAGTTCACTTAGTTGCTATAAAATTTAATTGTTAGTAGTAGTATGTTTTTTCTTTTATAACGGTCCGCCTTCAGCGCAATGTAAAACTTTTGAGTGTATTACTCTCATGAAAAAACTTCTCATGAAATCAATTAGTTGGAGTTGGGTTTTCATTTATGGGGAGAGAAGTTTGTCCAAAGTTTAGGCGTTTGAAATTTTTTGTTATTATACCCTTAACAGAATAGTATATTAAATTTGCCACGAAGTTTGTAACAACCAAAAGGCAACGCCAGAGACCCTATAAAATATATAAATAGAAGTCGATGGGTCACTTCAGCTATGTCCGTTCGTCTGTCTGTATATACGCGCACTAGTTTTACAGTTTTTAAGATATCAATCTGAAACATACGTCTTTTTCTCCTCAAGAAGCTGCTCATTTGTTGGAATGGCGATATCTGACCACTATAGCATATAGCTGCCATACAAACTCAACGATCAAACTCATGTCGCTACTGGAAATTTTTTTTATTTGGCGAGATATTTTCATGACTTTTGCCATATATTATATTATTGACCAAGGCAGTGCTACAATCCTCGAAGAAATTGTTCAGATCAGATCACTATAACATATAGCTGTCATATCATCAAATTGACCGATCAGAAATCAAGTTTTTTGTGGAAACCTTTGTATTTGTGAAGTGTATTCCAGTTTCGGAGCAACCGAAGTTAAACGTTTTTCTCGTTTTTTTTTTACATTCAGGCTTCCTTTTCGGCCATGCCATGATATTGAAACAACAATAAACCCAAAATACAAATAATTATAACTGTAATATCTATAGGAAAAATAAAGATTCGGAACATCTGCATATCTTATATAAATGTGACGAAAATTACTGTTTTCAACAAAAACCTCCCTCACCATCTCACACAAATTGGTATATTTAAATATGCTTGAAAATATATACATAATTCGAGTTTCATCGAAAATCTTAGAGAATAGAAAATTATAGGTCTCCATTTTTTTAAATTAACTAAGCACGGCCACATTTTAGAATTAGTTATATGAAATAATTAGAAGCAACTAAGTTTGTCTTGTTCAGAAAGAAGTTGATTGGGATTTATCTTTTAATACATATGTACGAGTATATATACATACAAACTTACAAAGCAACAATTTCTGCCGATGAAATTCCGTCTTGAAATGTAATAGCTTTATTGACATGATTTACTCATGATTGATTGTACAAATGTGAACTTCCTACTGTTTGTCACAGTTTGTATGGAGCTATATATATATGTACATATTTACAATACAAGAGAATTGCAAGAATGCTAAAATATACATGTTTATGTACATTTATACAGTTGTGAATTATTTAGGCTCCAATATCTTTCCAAAACGACTATACCTAAAGCCAGAGATAAATTATTTGAATCTTCGTTTACATTTCACTTCAATGCTATCATATACCTACAAAAAATTTCCCTTTGGAACGATTTTTACGATTATACCTTTTATGTAGGCTTTCCCGTACAATATTAGTATACAATTAGTCTCTCATAGGTCTCAAACAAACAGCATCCTTTGGGACTAATCGCGGACTCATCCTGGGCTTGTCATAGTTTATTATTGCAGAGTTTAGTTATTTATTTTCGCAATATGAAGCAATTATTATTACTAGGTAAATGTGGTTATAGTGGAAATGGTCACAGAAGCATTTGAAATCGATAACTGAAATGGGACGTATGTATTAAAATAAGCATAATTCGTACTTCCTTTCCCACAATGTACTCAACTACCTTCGTGTCTGCTAGGATATCCGCAGAAACTCTCTAAATTTGTATTAACACATATATATTCAATATACAATATAATATGTATATGCATACGTTTGCGCACACAAATATCGATGGAACTGGTTCAGAAAAAGGCAATTAGCACTCTTCGCGTATTGAAACACTTGGGAAATACATAATTTAAATATATACATGTATGGTCAAGTCATATAAATATATTTCTGTGCAAGTAATATTAATGCATAAATGAAAGTATATAAAATAGGGTAGTCCGATGTTACATGAGATTAGCTTTAGTGACTAAACATCAGAGTTTTCGCATCAGAGCACTTCAATGCTGTTGATTATTCGCTATTCCTTTGATCAACATTACCCGTCCTTCAACAGACAACATTCAATGCATTTTAATCTGCACCAACAATAATCGCCGATTAAATATGTATATACATATATCTGAGGCAATATGTTAAAGTTGTTGAAATCGACCTAACCGAATGACGAAAATTTAAGTTACTCTAAACAATTTATTCAGAGGCTCGACATTGTATTTAAGTTGAGCAATAACTTAGAACTGAGAGGATTAGGTTATGATAGAATAAAAAAAAATGGTCAATGATCCCGGAATAGCTGGCCTTCATAAAGCTTTTCAAATAATTCTACAAAAAGAAAATTATAGAATATCAAAGTTATCCAATTATTATATAGACTCTTAACCCTCTATATGGTTATATGTCTTCTAAACTATTTAACGATTTCAATGAAAGTTGGTGTTGTCATTAGGGGCCAAGAAGGGCCATAGTGCTGAACACAATTAGATTTGAAAAATTTTAAATCGGTTTTTAAGTTCGCTGTAAATTTCATGGTATTAAAGGTATCCAAGTATTTAAAATTATGTCATACGTTTTCAATATACTTCTACCTTTTCAACCAACAACAAATGTTTCAACAATAAAACAAATAAAAAAGTAGTTAAGCAAGTATGATTTACAAATTAAGTAGTTTTAAAACTTAAAAGTTTTTTACAAGTAGTTTTAAAACTACTTAATTTATATGGTATTTTTATATGTACATTGAATTTCATCTTCCGAGAACAGTGAACCATCCTAATGCGTGATGATATGTAACAAAACTGGTTCGAAAACCGTTTGCAGTCGGTCAAGCTGTTACTAAATAAATTGAAATTAATTGCGATATTCTTGATTGTCTCCTAAGTTCTGCGTGTACTTGTAGCAATAAAAGCAACAAAGATCCACACACTGCATACAGATAAGAATAGAATAATCAATTGAATAAAAAGTGAAAGAGATTCTTTTATATAAAAGTGAGTATGTAAGTAGAATATGGAAAAACCACATAAGACAACATATACAAGTTTCAAATGTTGTAAATTAAGAACAAAAACACGAAACGCGAGGAACTCCCAGCAAATTGCAACAGTCGTCCATTACTAAGAGAACACAATTTCATATTATTTTAGAGTTTCGTATGCTTCAACGGGAGACCCTTGTAATTCTTAAGATAAAAAATTAAGAAACTTGTATAGTTTTTGTACTATATGTTATATAGTTTACATATGTTAGCTGTTATAATTACAATATATACTTTTATAAATCTGCTTCTTGTCGGCAGAAATTTTTCGAACAATGCTTCTTTAGTTAGTAGGGGAAAACCACTCTAAAATAAAATAATCAAGTATTCCGTAAATTAAGTCAAAGGTAGCGATCCTGATTTCCACTCCTCGAACTTTGGTCTACACTAAATGTGTAGTGTATCTCTATTACTTAAATCATAATATAGATCTTATTTGTAATATTCCTGACATTACCTTCCTCTAAGCTACCTAGTTCTTATTGTGCCAGATTTTAGGAAATTGCAGTGTTGTTTAACCTTCATCTAACTTACGGCTTCTAAAACCTATACACATATACCTAAGCAAATAAATTGCTAACTTTTTATCGGAGAATGGAAAAACGTGATCGACGTTGTAAAATATTTTTAAGTTGACACGAATCGTGCACATACAAATTACATACCACATTTAACTACATTTCGAGCTAAATAATTTAATTTACCAAGATGATATATTTCGATAAATGCAAATTTATACAGATATTTATGAACTATATTTCTTATTCAGAGCAGTGTTAACAAAACAAATCACATTTATGCTTATAAAACCGGAATTATAATATCTTGATTGGTAACCTGGTTAAGGCGGTAATCACGCTGAATGACGTGAAAAATATTGAAAACAAATATTGAAATGTACTAATACGTAAAACGCACGCAAAAAATACAATGGACATTTTCGGTGCTAATAAAAGTTTTTGGTTCAATTTGAGTGGTCATAAATGCAAAAAACTACTATGAGGAAGTCCAATAACTCAAGAAAAATTGTAATGTTGTGGCTATCTACATACTTGTATGTACATCACCAGCTTCATTGAAGCGTTGCGCATGCGCCGTCGTTAGCAGGTGATTGCGTGGCGCAGTGGCTAAAATAACAATCGCAGCATAACACGAATAAGTACTTATGTTAGTATTTGCGCATACAAAGAGTCCACTTATGTATTTATATACATATCTATATGTAACGAATATTAGTTACTTATACACATTCTATGAATAAGTATACGAAATACATGCCCATCAGCATATATATTCAATATATTCACGCATACCAATTTCTAGCGCTAAGCACTATTTAGTTAAGAGTTATTTTCATCGAATTATTATAAACAAAATTAAAACAACCGAAAGTAACATCTCAAAAAACTTAAATTTCAAGTATATACTAAATACCTTCAGTTATGTTTATTATGTTTCTTTTTTTATTAAATTTTTTTTTTTTGTGGAGTTAAACTTTAACGCCAATTAAATGTGATAAAGAAAAAAACCGCAACAAAATCGAGAACCAAAACGATTTCTACCGCTTTTGTCGCGCTCGTTTCGAAAACTGACTGCCCGCAAGATTGGGTGATGGGTTTGGCCGCCGCTTATTAACTTTGACTCAATTTTGCTTGCTTGTGCAATGAAATTGGTTTAAAAGAAAACGAAATACCCTCTCTCTAGTCACAGTCGAAGACAAGTTTGATTTTGTGTCATAAACATTAAGGTGGGTAAAACAAAAACGAATGATATTTTTCGCTTGGTACTCTGAAAAATTGGTTGATAGACACCTCTAAAAAAGTCTCTCCAAGTTATGAGCTTACAATTTTTTTTTCTCATTATTAAATAGAAAAATTCAAATCTCGCTTCCAACTACTTGAGAAAATATTTCCTTTCATATATTTTGTAGGTAAATGAATGCTCTACAAAACGGTCTCTCATGATTTTTTCGTAAACCAAACCGTTAAAAAGATATTAATGGTTGAAGTTTGACTATTTTCAGGCAACTTTGTTGTTTTCTTTTGAATTTTATAACTCAATAAAAATACAATGCCTTTGTAGACCATTCAAATAAATATTTTTTTCAAGTAGTTGGAAGCGAGATATGAATTTTTCTGTCTATAAATAAAAAAAATTAGAAAACTGCAAGGCGGAGAGCCTTCCCGTTACAATTTAGAGCTCAGGCTTGGAAAGACTTTTTAGAAGTGTCTATCAACCTATATTTCAGAGTACCAAGCGAAAAAACATTCGTTTTTTTACCCACCCTAATAAACATGTATATGTATATTAGAGCAGCTTGATTTACAGGGAACCAAAAAAACGGAAATTTTTATAGAATATATAGAAAAACATTTTGTAGAAAATATTCGACCCGAGCTATTGTATACATATATGCATGAGTATGCGTATGCAGGAATTTTAAAAGAAAAATTTCAGAGAGCTTGGCTTTTGTGTAGCTTCATGCCGGTATGTCCGCAAAACCATAAATGGGTTATTGTGTGCTTTAGAGTTTAATTCGCATGATTTCGCAGTGGGCTGACTATGATGATGACCTAACTGATAAAGTGCGTCAAATGTCTTCATACGTAAAACTGAAAATTTGGTGCAATTCATATTTACTTTTAAGCTTCTACCAAAATTTATATATTATATACTCAATTATTGGAAAAGAATGTAATTGTTTGCAACATATTGGTCATAATGGAGAGAATTCGGTCAATATTGTGAGGTCTCGTAAAGAAAAACGTTAACAACTATCAGTATAAGCAATTAAAAATATCTAGAACCGTTTTTACCAAGTTGTGCTTAGCTGACCTACAGATAGTTCGATTATTGTGAATGCGTGGCGAAAACAGTTTACAAAACTTGCTGTGTAAACACGCAAAGCTGTGTAAACGTCATGAGCCAGGTATGTGTGTATTCAGACGAGGACTCCTTTTGTCGCCCATACCGGTTTTCGTAGGCGAGGAAACAAATAGGAAAGAAGAAGAGACCGTGTCGCTCGTACTTGGGTAACATGCTTTGTGTTACATTACTTTTCATTTTGAAATTCCTTTCATGGTTGCAACAGCGCTCGATTTCAATGGAATATTTACCTTATGTTCCGTCGTTTAAATGTTATTACCTTTTCTTGTATGTAATATGCATATATGAATACAATTATGCCAAATAAATAATGATAATGGGCGACAAAATAATCCCTGTCTGAGCTCCGTCTATGCTTATAGATTTTACAGCTGACCGCTGTCATTTCCTAACCATACCATCGTAAAGGGCATATATTGAGAAAATGGCCGTTAGTGCTATAAAAATATGTGTGGGTTTGATAGGATATATGTATACTTTGTCGTTGAGCTATTAAAATTCGCATTTCTATTTCTCTCGTACAGAGCTTAATACGCGATAATTCCTCGAAATATAACCAATATTTTTTCGCACTTTTTAATCTTTAACAGCCAGAGTGCTGTACGTACTTTTTTCAGATAATTTTTACATGTCCCTAACATTAAGCAAATAATTATAAGTATATTGAGTTTGCCGCAAAGTTTGTAACACTCAGATTTTGAGACCGATCTGCACTCGTCCTTTTCTCCTGCTGCTCATTTGTCGGAACCACCGATATCGGACCACTATATAGTTGCTATAAAAGCTGACGTATCAAAATCAAGTTCTTGTATAGAATTTTTTGTGTTTGTGAATGGTGTTATAACTACAGTACTATCTAATTTAACGTTTTTTCTTGTTTTGCTCTTAAATTAGAAATTAGTTTATAATAAATATACATATGTAAGTTCCAAAGGTGTTCCAAAGAAAGCTTGCTTGTTGATTAATATTTCTCCTATTTAGATGTTTATTGCTAACAAATGGAGAAAATTTCTCCAGAATGAATGCTGATTATTTTTAACATTTAAATGCAAAAAATAATATAGCTAAACAAATGTTTTTTCCAAAGGTTACAACTACTGTTAAGTGTAATTACATACTTACATACATCGCCGTTTATTTATTTCCTTATTAATCTGTTTTTCATTTTAACAGAGAACGTAGAAATATAGAGAAGGTTCAATTGCGGACAAATCTACGTTCTCTGATAGAACATGTCAAGAATGATCAATACAAGATTACGCCAAACCCTACTTTGTGACGTAATTCTTTTGAGTTGAGAGGAAGCAGAGAACTTGGATTTATATTTCTACACTCTCTGGAAGAAGCATAGAACAAAATGTTAATTGTAAATCGAAACGTAAACACTTTTGTTAATTCGTGAAATAGACTTTATTTATTAGTTTAAACTATATTTTATGCAATCAAACCAATATATTTTATATTTATAAATTCAAATATAACAGATAAATTTGATTTTTGAAAATGAAAGCAATATTTTTTAGTAATTTCACTTAAACTGTTTCACCAAAAACTTATAAATTTAGTTTATTTAACGCATTAAGAAGTGCTTACGTTTTTGGTTACAATTTACATTCTGTTCCATGCTTCTTCTTCTTAACTCAAAAGATTTACTTCTTGTGACGGCGGCATAATGTAATTTGTTTTTGTAACAATTGTCTCAGCCTAAACCGAAATAAGTAACGGTAAACTAGTGTCGTAATCTAGTATTCTATCATTTATGGAACATGTTTAGAACTACTGCGTTAACACGGGGACTCTTTTGTCGCTCATTATCGGCAAATTCTCTTTTGGTGTCGCCCTGTGCGTTCACACGATTAAAAAGAGTCCAGCAACTCGAATCGAGTTTTTCTGTCATTTCTTTTAATACAATTTTCGCAAATGTTTGTGCACATTTGATTGAACAATATGCTAAAAACCCGCTTAATAGTTTCAAAGAAATACTAAAGTCGGGAATTCCCTAATTCACCAGAATGTATTGAATACCCGTAATAATAATTTTATGGCCAAATTTATAACAAATATATCTTTTGGGAAGTATTAAGAACCCATAATTTTTTTACTCCATATATTATTCTCTTTGTTATAAAACATCCTTTAATTAGTTAAATGCTTGCGGTTAAAAAATAAATGTGAAAGTATCTTAATATTTTATGTAAACATAAAAAAGTAAAGTTACCATTTTTATTAGAATTATTTTATTATACTCGTATATTATGACATTTAATACCGCTATATGCTAATAAAAATTTGTCAAAGCGTGCGACTTATTTGGGTCCAACTGTATTAGTGTTGTAAAACCTGCCAAATTTATCTACTTTTATAAAACTATTCAAACCTTATAAACATTTTAAATTTTTACACAGACAGGTTTGTTTAAGCAAGCAGTTTTTAAAAAACTACAAAATTTTATTTTTTGTTAATTTATTTTATTTTGGGTTTTCCTACACTGCACAATTACGACGACGTTCAATATTTGTAATATCGGCGCAACTCTCTTAATTAAGAGTTCGACTAATTTGGTTGCGAACATTAAAAGTTTTTACTGGATCATAATTTGTTAAATTGTTATATCGATATGAATTCCTCATAGTATTTGATATTTAAACAATAGAGACAATAATTGGGATGCGTGCCGAATCGTTTGACTTCTAAAAATTCTTCTACGCAAACCAAACTGTGCGATAAAAGAAAAATATAATAAAAATAACGCACATACTAAGTATAAGGTGCCAACGGAAGTAGCTCCGCAAACTAATGTGAAAAGTAAGAAACATAACTGTCAAGAATTTTCTTTATATTTTAAATCAAGAAAATATTTGTACTTCAATTAAAGTATGGACAATATCGAGCTAACGTCGTGTGACAAAAGGTTGTCGAATAATAAACAGATATCAGCTGAGAGCTGTTCAAATGACGACGAGGGAAAGGAAATAGCAATGGAAACTGTGGAGGAACTTCTGGAGAGTGTAATCACAGAGCTAGCCGATGATAATTATATTGAAAGGTTAGTGGAGCTCTTAAAAAAATATATGCATGTAGTTTTTGTATTAAAGTGTTCTTTACCGGTTTTTGGTACCTATCTCATATTTAATTATCCGGTTAAAAACACCGGACTGTTCAGCATACGGAGAAATTTTGGGATTTAAATTAAACCCACCAAAATAATGTTCTATTTTTTTCGATTTGAAGATTTTTCATTTGTACTATAATTTAATTAACATTTGGAAAGATTACATCACCATCCAATACGCAATAAAAATTTAAAAAAAGTTTGTGTTTTTAGTGACTCCCGGTCAACACCAACGAAGACAGATAAAAGCAGTAGTGACAGCGGCGTTTGTGTCAACATGGAGGAGCAATCAACTACCAATAATATGGACATAAATCCAGATATAGATATGAATTCTACCGATGTAAACAGTGCTGACAACCTGTATACGTCTCCTAATTATTCAGGAAACAATTTAGTACTTTGCTCTACCTTCAATGAGGAATCCGCAACTCAAGTTCACGATGACCAAAAATCGAAAACATCATTAAAATGTAATGTTGAAAAAGAAACGGAAGAACTAATAGTTAGCAAAACTATAGAGGTAAAACAACTTTGTAGTAGCGATGATATAATTGAATTACCCGCTTGGCCACGTCATACACGCCGTGGTGCTCGTAACTACCGACAAAGTACCCACGATGAAGAAGAGGAAGCTGAAGGGGAAGGAGTCACTGTTAACGCAACTGAGGAAGAGCAAATGGTAGGCTTCTATTAAAAAACCAACTAACAATAATAAATTTGTTTATAAACAATGCACACCCTTAGCCGTTGCTGTCGGAATCAACAACTCAATCCACAAATGCAGAAGCTGTTAATAATATTGACACATCAATGCCTAGCGAAGCTGAAAATGTGAGTTACACTTATATAAACACAATTTACTGTAATATTACTATGACATTACTTTCAGTCGCCTGCCATTTCCGACAGTGTCAATAGGATGCCGTATATAAGCAGTAGTCCAATTTTCAGCGACGACGATGATGATATTGATGAAGACGATGACGACGATAATGATGATTATAATGACGACGATGACGACGAGGACGACGAGGACGACACTGATGATGATGACGATGATGATGATGAAGCTAACTCAACTGAGCATGCTAGTAATTTGGCTGAAATTATGAATAAACCTAAACCCACATATACCTGGTGTTTGACGTATGAGCTAATGCGTCGTGAACATGGACTGAGTGGCGATGGCCGCAGATCTTTGAGTGGTGGATTATCTCCAGGTTTCAATGCACGTTTTTACGCAGCTCGACACGTTATCGAACGTATGAAAATATCCCATTGCCTAACAAAGCATAGTGGTTGCGTAAATTGCTTAAATTTTAATATCAACGGCGACTTACTCTGCTCTGGTTCAGATGACACACGCATAATAGTATGGAATTGGGCGCAAAAGAAGCCTAAATGCGTTTTTAAATCTGGACATACTGAGAATATATTTCAAACGAAATTTATCAATAGTGCAGGTGTTCTAGATATTGTATCCGCTGGTCGTGATGGTCAAGTACGACGTTCAATTCTACCGTCATCTGGAGGAAAACCACAAACATCATTGCTATATCGTCATAATGACTCCGTGCATAAACTTGTGATGAGCCCAAATAACCCCTATGAAATTATAAGTGCCGGCGAGGATGCCCATATCCGTCTTAAAGATTTACGTAGCGACGAGAGCTCAACTATCCTTTGTAAAGTGCAGAGCAGCAGAAAGAAACGCAAAATACGGCTTTTCAGCATTGCTCATCACCCCTACGCTCCGGAAGTATGCGTATGCGGCTGTGATAACTTCGTTCGTGTCTTCGATAAGCGCAATATGACCAAACCAGTGCATCAAATGTGTCCCGAACATTTAGTTAAAGTAAATGTTTGCTCAATACGAATTGAATATTTGACAGTTTATATGTGTTAAATATTGACTTTCAGAATGCTTTGCCTCAAGTTACTTGCGCGGTCTACAACAATACGGGTAGTGAGGTGCTCGCCTCTTACAGCGATGATTTCATCTACTTATTCAATAATAACAAGTACAAAACAGGCGAATATCTACATCGTTACCGTGGTCATTCGTAAGCTCAAATATTCTATAAATATCCATATAGAATACAAATTATTCAATTCAAATTACCAACAGCAATCACAAAACTATTAAAGGGGTAAACTTTTTCGGACCCAATTCAGAGTACGTCATCAGTGGAAGTGATTGTGGTAATATATTTTTCTGGGATAAAAATACTGAAGCTATCTTAAATTTTATGCCTGGCGATACCATGGGTGTGGTGAGTAGAGTCTTTTGACTCAAAAATTTTGTACTAAAAGCGTTATAAGCATCTATCGATCAATATGTACGTAATCTAAAAGAAATTCAGAAAGAATCCTTAAATGGATGAAATCACGGCGATACCTTCCTTAGTATGATATAAAGTTTTGCCAAAACCTGAAAGTGTTCCTTCGTCTTTGTTCCTTGCAAGTTGCAAGAGTATGAAATGTTCGGGTACACTCGAATTTAGCCTTCCTTACTTGTTATATATTTTAGTCTCGTATTTGGGAATAAATTTGTAGTCTTTTATTAGGGATTTAAATTTATTTTTAATTAACATTTTCGTGATTACAAATTAAAAAAAAAAATTCATTCAAATATAATAAAATTATTTTTTTAATGCATTAGAAACATTTGTGTTTAGATTTAAATGTGAATTTGGGTGATATTTCGTACTAATGTCGATTTACCAAACTATAAAATTTATTTTACTCTTATTATTTTTATACACTTTTAGGTAAATTGCTTAGAGCCACATCCATCAATTCCGGTACTGGCTACATCTGGGCTAGACAGCAGCATAAAAATATGGACACCAAGTAGTGATGTGGTAATTAATCTTAACATTTAAAATTTATTTATTGTTAATAATTTCGACACAATTTTTCTCACAGTATCCTCCTGATTTGTCTAAACTCGAAACATGTGTTAAACGGAACCTCAGACATTCTGTATTGGGCGATGCCAACAGGCTTAATGACGGTGAATTCCACAACTTTATACACCAATTTCTTAGTCATCCTCCTCGTCGTGGTACGTATCCGTCAGTTGAGGATGAACAAAATAGCAGTAGCAGTAGCGAAGGTGATAGTGATGGCTTCGATTGTCCGCAAATGGAAGGTATACAATGCCAAACACAATAAACTTGAATTCTAACATCAATTAAATATATTTACGAAAACTGGCAGAATAGCTAACACATTCTTTATGTTTTCTGCTAGAATTTCTCTTTCTTTCTTTTTAAATTGTTGCCAATCATTTTACACCTTCTGTTGTAATATATATATTTGTACGATGATATAAAGCGTCAAAGAGTTTATTGCTCGTTAGATCAAATTAGAATTATCGTGCCAAAAATTGTTTGTTATCAAAATATACATATATATTTCGTGTAATGTTTGAATTAAATATTGAAACCATTGAATACAAAAAATATTAATAAAAAATATGCTTATACGCATGAAGAATAAAAAATATAACTAAAAAAATAATAACTAATCTGTTTTTTGGCATAGTAAAGCGGCGCTGCGTTTAACCCAATGCGACGCTTTTACTTTCGTTTTCAATAATATCGGGATCACATAATTTGTCGAGTGACCGGTAGTTGAGAGTACACCTTTCCGTTCTGATGTTTTATATAAAGGACATTTGTAGCGAGTTCCTTCTAAAAGTTTTAAAATCTCCACGGGCTACGAAAATAAAAATTTATTAATCATATGAGCTTATCCATTATTAAGAGAAAATAATTATACTGGAGTGATCCAAAATCAGCCAAATAAAAACTCGTCGTACAGTCATGCATATGTAAGTTACAGTTATAATAATAAACGAAATTCATTCGAAGGTAGAAAGAAACAAAAACAAAAAAATGTTAACTTCGGTTGCACAGCTCGAATACCCTTTACAAATAAATCAAGTTTTCATACAAACACTTGTTTTGATGGTAGCTATATGCTAAAATTCGCGATACGACCGAACAAAGTATTTAACATTTTTTTTATTATAAATGTATAATCTACTAGACTTATGGCGGCTAGTGTATATGTATATTATAGGGTTTGTGACCCTACCCTATAATACGCCTAGCAGTTTAAAAGTCTGGAATTTTTCGTGATTTTTACTGTACTCATTCATCTTCTTTTATAGTAGAAACTTATAGCAATCTATAGCTCAAAACAGATATTAACATATGCATTCTTCTGTATTTCAATCAGTTTATCCATCAAATCCTTGAAAACAAGGTCTAGATTCAGAGGTTTACTCATCGATTTCGATAAAACAAAGCAGTTTTTTAGCATAAAAACGAGAACGGTTCATCGGCTATCATCTCAACACCAACCCGATAACATACAATCTTATAAATAATCTATTTAATCAAATCTTTTTAGCAAAGTTTTGTATGTTTGTCTCCACAACTACTTACTTTGAAATATATAGCAGGCACCGTGTAAATTAGTATTTTCGGCAGTTGTTCGTCTATGATGTTCTCTTTCAAGTTCCAGCGAGCGCCTTCAAGAAAGAGTCCGTTTATGTAAACGCCGTCCGCAGGTGCAGATTTCATGCTAGCAATTATAAATTTATTTTATTAGACCTATTGGACCTAATGTATACATATGTCTATACCTATCCTCATATAAAACCTCAAAGTCAAATGTTAAAGTATCGATTGGAATTTTGTATTTTCGAGCAAAGTTCTGCATGGCTCCGGTTAGAAAGGCTTGTGTGAAGAAAAAGCCTGACAACCAAAAAGTAGACGGCTTTCCATGCGCATACCTATAGAAATTAATATTATATAAAGAAGCTGTCTTTAAATGAGGACTACTGATGCCAACCAGTGCTGCAACCAATCGAGCCGTCTATATAAATCTTGAATGTAGGAGCTCAATGTTTTTAGACTTGGATATGACTTTGACAGCCATTTAGCGGGTATGCGATTTAATTTAATGGCATTCAAAACATTCTCTAAATCAGGGGTCATTACAACGATTCCTTTTATAGCCATATCAAGATCACGACAAGAGGAACGTATCTCTTTTTGCAACTTCAAAAAACGTTCCATTTCCTGTACCAACACAGTGTTCATAGATTCATTGTAATTAACTGGATACTTAGTTTTGGCGTGATCAATATCCATATCGGCTGGCATTGTTTTGACTATATGGCCAACGGTATGTAATAAAGTTTCGTCCAGACTCTGGATACCGGCTCCAGTCGAAGCCATTTCGCTTCCAACAATCGCAATCATAGAGTCAAGCAGTGTTTTGGTAGTTTGTAGATCTCTTGTAATACCTGAGTTGCCGTGTAGACCGTAAACTTCTGGTGCAGCTAATGACGGATAATTTTCATCAACATAACGTAATATTTCACGGTGTTCCGTTTTGCGCGGCAAAATGAAACGATCATCGGTTGCGAATCGATATCGATTATCATTAACAGCATCTGGGTTTAGATAATCCGCAAGTATTGTGACAATAGCTCGACGATCCCAGTAGTCTGTGACGCGACCACCATAATTACACTCGGCCGTCAAATAAGATAGGGCATCATAAGGTACATGATCGTACTGATTAAGTAACATCTACAAGAAAAAATTATTGAAGCCATAAATCAAACTAACATTTCCTGAATTCAATTCGGATTTACTTACATTTAATTGCAACACCGATATTTGAAGATCAGATTCATTGAAGCCATAAGCGATATTCCAACCTAAAGGTCCATATTTGCGGCGCTCTTGTACGACTGCATGGAAAAAACAAATGCCGAAGAGCAGACGAGTAAAAGCTCGGTCTTGTTTGGCGCATCCTTCGAATGAAAATAAAGAAAACATCAAATACGTAAAGGTAAAGCTTCTAAAGGTTAAATGAAACGTAATTAAACTTCTTTATGTAATATTCTTTTCGGACTGAGGGAATCTACTACTAGAGTAAAACTTAAACCTCGAATGTTCATACATAAATATGTTAAGGCTCTTTCTTTGTTGAAAGATATACATACATATATCTTAGCTATCAAAGATTGTTTCACCTTATTTCCAAAATTAATAACTATACACTTGCAACATGTTGCTACAGAGTATAATAGTTTTGTTTATCTAGCGGTTATTTGTATATCCTAAAACTAATCGAGATAGAGTGGGCGAAATAGGACAAGTCACGCTTATTTATCTTAGATAAATTTTAACTCTTTGGTTGTATTTTTTATTTTGCATATATGTTATCTCATTTGAAGATGATTTTAATATAACTTTATCTGAATGAACTAAAATATAGCAATAAAACTAACTAAGTATATGACCTAACATATAACTTAATAAAATACCAAATTTGATTGTATTCCCCACACGATTTCGTCTAAGAATGAGTGTTCAATTCTTTCACAACACTTTTTAAAATAAAGTTTTGCCAACACTCGAAGGTATTTTTTCGTCTTTGATCATTGCAAGTTGCAACAGGTTGAAATGTTCGGTTACACCCGAACTTAGCCCTTCCTTGCTTATTTTTAATCTAAGAAATATAGACTGTGAAATAGTTAAAAGTAGCAATATCTCAATACACACGATCGAGGTCCTGGCATATTTCCTTAGTCACTATCTACAAAAAATATCGAATTTACCCAAATAGAAGGTGGGATCGTTGATTGGTTCAGAGTTGTATGACCGCATGATATTCTCCTTGAGGCCGGTAGGTGGTTCATTAGTCATTTTAACTCCATTTTGAAGTAAGGCTACCGGAAATCTTGGCGTAGGGTAACTTGTGAGCCACAACCGGAAGCTAGCTGCAGTGATGATCGGTTCAAATAGTATAGATATGTAGTATACAGGAGATTACTTACGTGAAGTGTTAAAGCTATCCATATTTTCCCAGACGTATTCCAATGTTGGCATCCATGAAGCAGCTAAATGACAGTTTTGCAAGCAAACCCAGTAACCCAAATCTTGTGCATCCTTTATAAGCCCCAGAGCAATAGGACCCTGACCTTGACCTAGTGAAATACTTTGGAAAGTGTCCATAAAGCCTGCTTTCTCAGCATATGCTAGCAGTGAACCAAGTGGATCGGCACCAGGTGATAGTATAAATATAAGGGGCGTCAATGCATTTGACTCTTTGTATGACATGCCAATGTCGAACTCTGGCGGTGTCACAAATTGTGTACCCATCTCTGCAGCAATAAAATTGCGAATGGCTATAAATACCTTATCTGGGCGTAGCGCTTTCAATACAAGTATCTTTTCGAATCGTGATAATTTTTCATTCCAAAGTGATGGTATTGTCTGGTTTTCAGGCTCAATATGATCGTAGATACGCTTCCAATCATGTAAACCTTTAGCAAAGCTAGCTGTAAAACCACGTAATTCGGGCAGATCCTCTAAACGTACGATATTCATCCATATTATATCCGTAATCCATGAGGGATCGGGATTGGGTGCGATTCTCTCAGTTTCTTTAGCATCCGTGAGTAAATGTGATAGTTGTACCATTTTTAGTTGGCCGGTACCCAACAAGATTCGGCATGTCAAAATGAAAGAAAACAGTAACTTATCCTTCTCAAATATTGAACGGCAAACATTATTGTACAGATTTCTCGTTACGCCATCTACCAAGAACTTAATGCGACGTGGTAGGTCTTTAGATTTATTTGCAGATTCAATGGAATACTCATAGAGATTTATATACCAATTTAGCGAAAATTGATACATCGGATCTATGTTAGGCAAATCGGTGATTGAATAGTAAAGCACGGAAGAATGCACAGCAACAGGTTTATAATTCAATCTAAATGCTTCAATTTTCATTTCGGTCTCACGTGACGCAGCTTGCTTCGCAACGATATCCAATGAAAGCTCCTTAGACTCGTTTAGAATTTGTATGGCGCTCTCATTTTCTAAAATATCACCCTCGGCTGCGGATAGAGTTTTTAGAATCATATTTTCAGCATCTCGCAGAGCCGCTTTATTTTTAGCTGCTTCATTTATCAACATCATGCGCAGTTCTTGTAAATCAGGTCGTTCTTTGGCAACCACAATGCTCAATAGTTGATCCTCTAGAGCGTTCTGTGTTAGCGCGAAGTTTATAATAGTTACTTTATTGAATGTTTCTGGCAGAAAATGTGGATTCCGTAAGTTACATGTCATGTAGAGTCGA